CTATTTCATCTGTTCGTTTTCCGAGGGATTCCACGGTGTTTTTCATATGGTCAATTGAGTTTTTCAGTTCTAGTATCTCATTCTGGCTTCTCTTTAGGATCTCTAATCCTTGGGCTTGTTTTTCATTCAGCTCTTGACACTGTTTCTCATTATTTCTAAGTATTCTGATTATTAATTTTCTGAATTCTTTTTCTGGCATGTTTTCAACTTCTTCTTCTTCTGCCTCTGTTATGGTTGGTTTAGCCTGCTCCATTGGCAAGTTTATATGTTCTTCTATATTCATATTGTGGGTTTTTGTTTTGTTTTTTTGGCATTTCGTCTGGGTGGTTTCCCTCTGCTATAGACTGCTGTGAGTCTGTACCAATATCCAGTGTAAGCAGGCTGCTCTACACAGCCCGAAGGTAAACAGACAGGATGGCTGCTCTCTGCCCGCTGCAGCTCTGCCCTCCCTCGCAGCCGCTATTCAGTTTTGTTTTGTTTTGTTTTTTTCTTGTAATTTGAGTAGACGGGCGTCAGGGCTTTGAGCTGCCCTCCCTCGAGCAAGAAGTGTCCTGTTGCTCCGCTCCACCTTTGGGCTCCGCCTCCAAAGGTTAGTATGGAGGCAAAGACAGTTCTCCTTTAAGCCCGAATGTAAACAGACAAAATGGCTGCTTCCCACCCACTGCAGCTCTGAGGAGGCGCCAAGAGATACTGGCTTACTCAGTCTCTCAATTAGTACCCCTGAATCACACACTCTTTCCGCAGGCGCCACTCACTCTGTTCCATTTTCTATTTCCTCCCCCACTCAGTCATGCGTGTCTCAGTGTCCATCCCAGGGTGTGTTGGGGGAGGGGTGGCGGCAGCTGTGCCACGGTGCTGGGCGAGCGCCCCATCTCACCTTGGCTTCCAGCGCTGGTGCGTACACACTCCTGCTGGTGTCCTGCACCTCAGGCGTCCGCGCCCTCCTCGCGTGTCCACCCTATCTCCCCAGTTTCAGGAAGAGCTTCTCGTTCCTTAAAAACTACAAATTCTCACCCCTCTTTGAACCTTCCCTTACTGGACCTTTGGTGTGCTCCCTCACTCCTCCCCATCAGTCTCTTCTACTTCTTTCCTCTCAGGGAGCTTTTCCAGCCATGACAGTTTATCTGGAGAGGAAAACCATTCTCTGGAAAGTTTACCTTAAACTCAGTGACTAGGCAACCTTTTCCATAAGGCCTACAATAACTTGACGTGCCTTCCTTTGGCACACACTTGACATCTCCACATTTGGTGATCTGACCTGGATAAGAGGTGATGACTAGGGTACATTTGTCAAGAGTAGATACTGGCTTTTGGAAGCCACTTAATGCTTCAACCAATTCTGTGTGCATATACATGAAAAGGTGCTCTCCCCATCAAATAAAAACATCAAGGTCCTTCTGATGTAACACAGTAATATCTCCCAACTCGAGTCCTAGTTCGTGATCTCCTACACCATGGAATGTTACCTTCTGGCTATCTTTCATGCCTTGTCAGTACGAACTCCTAGAATTTTCTTCTCTTGAACTGTTCCCATGCATTGCAGCTTTTACAGCTATCTTTAGGACTGATCCGTTACCCACAGTCCTGGCACTCCCTGCCTATGGACTGGATATGCTGAGCCATTCCAGTCCCTTTCTGATGAATTCTTATTTGCAATCCCCATACCTCAGCAATTGGACAGCCCACTACTGCTCCTTCCTCACCACCTTGTCCTCCACAAATCACTTCATCTTGCAGAGCCAGTTTACTTGATGCACCATTGTATGACTCTTCTAAGGTTACCAAGAGCTAATGCACAACATTTTTACCCCTGTGTACTCTTTATTCCCTTCTTCCTCTTCCAAAAACCATATCAAAGATGTCCACAGGGGTGCCAAAACCACCACCTGCTCCACTCTCCCTAACTGCCTCTTCTCTTCCTTTGCCATATAATTCCCTATTCTTTGCATCAGAGAGAATGTCACAAGCTTGAGAATTCTGCTTAAACGATTCTCTTTCATTTGGATTCTTATCAGGGTGGTACTTCAAAACCAGTTTCCAACAAGCCTTTCTCAGTTCTTCCTGGGCAGCAATGGGTTTGGCCCCAAAAACATCATAGTAAGTGATTTCTCTCACCATTTTTTTAAAGGTTTATTTATTTGAAAGTCAGAGTTACACAGAGAGAGGAGAGACAGAGAGAGAGGTCTTCATCCAATGGTTCACTCCCCAATTGGCTGCAATGGCCGGAGCTGTGTCAATCCGAAGCTGGGAGCCAGGAGCTTCTTCCGGGTCTCCCACATGGGTGCAGGGGCCCAAGGACTTGGGCCATCCTCTACTACTTTCCCAGGCCATAACAGAGAGCTGGATCAGAAGTGGAGCAGCCGGGACTCAAACCAGCACCCATATGGGATGCTGGCACTTCAGGCCAGGGCATTAACCCACTGTGCCACATCGCCGGCCCCTCTTTTTTTGATAGCTGGTAGGTAGCTGAGGCCCATGGTGGGAAGGGAAAAGAGCATGCACTGTGTACAGCTCAGGCAGCTGCCACTCCTCATCTCTCCCCACACATTCTGGAAACTTCCAAATCATTGCTTCTTGCATAGAATTCCTGGGCATGTTTCCCCACAACTTTGCTTATCCGCTTTCTAAAGCAGATTCATCTCTACCATAAAATATTGCAGTGAAAATTTTTATATATCTCCGCTGAAAAATCTGTGAGCATTTATCTGAACTTTGTCCAGGAGTGGGACTGCTGAGTCTAAGGGCATCCATGTACTTACTGTCATTCACTTCTGCTACACTGCTGTTCAGAATGCTTGTACTATTTATACTATTTATACTCCTACCAACATGAGGATTCTTACTCTCCATGTCTTCACCAACATTTATTATTACCTCTCTAAGATGTGGCAGTTTTGATGGATATAAAGTAATATCTCATTCTTACCATTTTAATTTGGAGTCTTCTGGTTATCTGTGATTTTAAGCATTTCTTCATAGATTTGTTGGTCTTTTGAGTTTCCTATTCCTGTTACTTTACTTACCTACTCAAGTTGTTTGTACTTTTTATATTTCCATTTGGGTTTTCTTGTCTATTTCTTTTTTATTTTTATTTAATTAATTAATTAATTTATTTATTTATTTATTTTTGACAGGCAGAGTTAGAGAGAGAGAGAAAGGTCTTCCTTCCATTGGTTCATCCCCCAAATGGCTGCTATGGCTGGCGTTGCACCTATCCGAAGGCAGGAGCCAGGTGCCTCCTCCTGGTCTCCCATGTGGGTGCAGGGCCCAAGCACTTGGGCCATCCTCCACTGCCTTCCCTGGCCACAGCAGAGAGCTGAACTGGAAGAGGAGCAACCGGGACAGAATCCAGTGCCCCAACCAGGACTAGAACCCGGTGTGCCGGCGCCGCAAGGTGGAGGATTACCCTATTGAGCCGCGGCGCTGGCCTTTCTTGTCTATTTCTATCTGATTTTGACTGATATATTCTTTTATTTTTAAGATTTATTGATTTTATCTGAAAGGCAGAGTTACAGAGAGGGAAAGACAGACTGAAAGATCTTCCATTTGCTGGTTCACCCCCTAAAAGGCCATATAAGCTGGGGTTGGGCCAGGCTGAAGCCATGAGCCAGGAGCTTCATTTGGGTCTCCCATGTGGGTGCATGGGCCCAAGCACTTGGACCATTCTCCACTTCTTTCCCAGGTGCATTACCAGGGATCTGAATTGGAGGTGGAGCAGCTGGGACTCCAGCCAGTGCCTAGTGGGATGCCAGCGCTGCAGACTGTAGTTTAACCCACTGTGCCACAGCGCCTGCCCCCTCTAATGTATTTCTTTGGACAACAATGATCCTTAATGTAGAGCAGAAGTAAATGATATTAAGTATGTGTAGGCCCTTTAGCTTCAGCAGCCCCATTCCTGGAGATATAGTTCAGATAAATGCTTACAGATTTCTCAAGGGAGTTTGGAACAGGAAGCATTTATTCTGATATAGTTACATCTATCATAATTTCCTTCTATGATCATCTATTTTTGAGATAATCTTTAAGAAGCCTTTCCCCACCCTTAGTTCACAAGGACATTGCTGGGTATTTTATTCTATGAATTTTACAGATCTGACTTTTAAATCTGTTAAACTCTCTGGACTCTGCCATTGCATGTAATGTCTTGCTGTGTCTTTTATCATGACCCCTGCACGTTAGTAGGAAGCTGGCATCAAGAGCAGCACGGGGATTCAGACCCAGGCCTTCTGAAATGGGATGTACGTGCCTAAGAGTCACATTAACAACTACAACACGCTGCGGCTCACTAGGCTAATCCTCCGCCTCGCGGCGCCGGCACACCGGGTTCTAGTCCCGGTCGGGGCGCCGGATTCTGTCCCGGTTGCCCTCTTCCAGGCCAGCTCTCTGCTGTGGCCAGGGAGTGCAGTGGAGGATGGCCCCAGTGCTTGGGCCCTGCACCCCATGGGAGACCAGGAGAAGCACCTGGCTCCTGCCATCAGATCAGCGTGGTGCGCTGGCCACAGCGCGCCGGCCGTGGCAGCCATTGGAGGGTGAACCAATGGCAAAGGAAGACCTTTCTCTCTCTCTCTCTCTCTCTCTCTCTCTCTCACTGTCTAAGGTCTGCCTGTGGAGAAAGAAAAAAAAAAAAAAACCACTACAGCAAATTCCTGCCCCAGTGTTAGTAATTCTTAGATTTCAGTTTCAGGAATGATTTTGTAACTTTGGACAGAATGATAGGCTACATTTTACTGGCAAATAAGATTTATAGAACCTATTTATATCTTATAATGACTAGAAAACATACAGTAGGTAATTTAATGCTTCATTTAAAGAGATTATAGAAGCTTAGGGTTTGTTTAAAAATCCTCAATGATTTTAAGTTTTCTTTTTAAATTGTGATAGTATTGCTATAAAAAAACTTTGTATTTTGCAAAATTCTTTGGAAATGAACACAATATAAATAATCTGCAAGTGATCTCCCCCTAGCAACTCCGTAAATTCACTGTTTCTTTATATTACAGGTGTTGTTAGCAGAAGAAAGGAGTTCCCATATAGGATACCATTAGATTTGGTCCCCAAAACAAATGTTGAACGGATTGTGAGTGTAAAAGGTAAATTAATAAATACCATTTTATTTCTTATTTCACTTTGTGATTCAAACAAAAATTAAATATTTTCATGATTATCTATTTCTCTACTTCCCTAATCAGTAGCATATGTATCTCTGGGAGTTCCCTACCCCTAAAACTCTCACCCACCCCAGCTCCAAATCCTTGCTCACTTTTCCACGTTTCTTCTTCCACTGGCCTGATTTCAATGGAGATTCATTCTCATATGATGGAGGGTGGAGGTGGTCATTAGCCCAAAGACTGCTACAGCAGGAGTCAGGTACTTCCAGCCCTAGAGAACTCTCCCTGGTCTTAGCAGCCAGCCAGTCCTGCTCCAGAGGCTTTGTCACCTGAAGGGACCCTAAGACAACAGAAATGCTTTGCAGAACTACCAGTCCCAGAGGGGTTGTTTGAGCTGTGTGTACTGCTGTAACAAAGTACCCGAGATTGGGTAATTTATGAAGAAGAGAATTTATTTCTCATGGGTCTGGAGACTAGAAAGTCTAAGACCAAGGGGCCAGCAGATTCAGTGTCTGCTGTCGGATGGCATCTTCTTGCTGCCTCGCGTGGCACAAGGTAAAAGGGTAAAATGGCAAAAGCGGAGTGAACAGTTCCCTCGTATCTCTCAGGTCCCACTCACGAGGGCCTGGCCCATGACCTAGTCACCTCTCCAGGAGCCCCACCTTCCTACACCATCACCTTGGTGATTAGGTTTCATCATATGCATTCGGGGCGGCCGGGGGTGGGGGGGACCTATATCAAGCCATAGCAGGAGTTCTCTCTCCAGTACATTGGCCAAGGTGGCATCTTTGGTAGGTGTCCCCTGGTCTCTAGCCGTTACAGTTCAATAGCATGTCATCAAGATGGTAGAATGCCCTGAGCATATTTTATCTCAGATAAAGTTCTAGAATCACAGAATATTAAGAAAGGACCTTTTTGATCATGGGCAGTCCTATTGGTTGATATGTTAGAGAATGACTTGCCCAAGGTTGCACAGTGAATTACAGAGTGGCCACACACCTGCTGTTCAGGCTCTCAGGTTTGCTTCATGAGAGGACTGGTTAATATGCTTTGCAATGTCCAAACCTATCAGGTTGGATGGCGATGAATTTGCCATGCTATATGGAGCAATCTGTCCACTGCTCTACATTTTCTAACACCATGTTGTAGTGATATTTTGTTTATTTATTTACTCATTTGGGAGAGAGAGAGAGAGAGACAACTCCCACCCTCTGATTCACTCCCCAGATGCCTGTAATTGCCAGGACTGGCCAGGCCAAAGCTGGGAGATGGAATCTCAGCCCAGGTCTCCCACATTAGTGGCAGGACTCAATCACCTGAGCCATCATCCAGTGTCTCCCAGAATGCATATTAGCAGGAAGTTGGAGTTGGGAGCCAGAGCTGGAACTCAACCCAGGCGCTCCCGGATAGAATGCGGGCACCTTAACCAGTGTCTCAACTGCTAGGCCAAATGCGAAGTGATGTTTTTAAGTCTTCTTTTTTTGTTTCTTTTAAACTTATATTCCTAAACAAATCTTTTTTTCCTCACTTAATTTCTTAAAAAAAAACATGTTAATTGCCTGGATAAAAAGAAAAGAACAGAGACAATTGTTCCCTCTTTAGACTGTCCTGTTGGAGGCTGATAGAAAGTGGTTGTGTCTACCATGGTTTCTGTTTCGTTTCAGGACTGCTTATAGGTGAGGTCCTGTCTGCAGTTCTAAGTAAGGAAGGCATCAATATCCTAACCCACCTTCCCAAGGGGAGTGCAGAGGCGGAGCTGATGAGTGTGGCCCCAGTATTCTACGTTTTCCATTACCTGGAAACAGGAAATCATTGGGATATTTTTTCTCCTAACTCATTAATTAAAAAACAGGACCTGAAGAAGAAATTAAAAGAAGGTAAAAAAAATTATTTTATACAAAAACCCAGTAACCTTAAACTAATAGTTGTTATTGTGAGTTATATAAAATCTTCATTGTAAAAACACTTTAGCCAAAAAAATAATCATGAGGTAGACTCTATTACATTTTTTTTTAAATGCTATTTCTGAAGCATTTTGGCTTAACTTACCAAAAACCCTGGCTGAGACATCAGACACCTGCACTCCAGACTTCCTCCTCCTTTGAATGAGAGCAGAATGTTCTGCTCAGTAGTTCCCGATCCATAGGCTGCCTTTGAGAAGTTCCGTGCTGGCCACAGAGCATCCACACGCTGCCCAACACTGGAGCACGGCTGCTGCTCCCTGGGGCCGCGCAAGTGTTCTTTGAGTTGACCTGGAGCTCAATGAAACACTATGACACTATGTTCTTTTTTTTTTTTTTGGTGCCTCCCAGGGATAGTGAGCATCATGTCCTACAGAAATGCGGACCATTCTTACAGCATGTGGAAGGGAGGAAGTGCCAGTACTTGGTAAGTAGAAGGTCTTGACTTGCATTTTCATATAGTGGTTTCATAACAACCATTATGGAAACTGCATTCTTCCAGTTGTCCAGGCTAAAAAGCTAGCCATCCTTCACTCATTTTCTTTTTAAGATTTATTTATTTATTGGAAAGGCAGAGTTACAGATATGTGGAGGCAGAGAGAGAGAGAGAGAGAGAGAGAATCTTCCATCCGCTGGTTCACTCCCCAAATGGGTACCACAACCGGAGTTGAGCCGATCCAAAGTCAGGAGTCAGGAGCTTCTTCTGTGTCTCCCATGTGGTGCAGGGGCCCAAGGACTTGGGTCATCTTCTACTGCTTTCCTAAGTGCATTAACAGGGAGCCGGATTGGAAGTGGAGCAGTCAGGATTCGAACCAGCACTCATATGGGATGCTGGCGCTGCAGGTGGTGGCTTTATCCACTATGCCACAGCACTGGCCCCTCTTCTCTTTTTCTGACAATCCAAATCTGATCCAGCAAACATATTTGGCTTTACCTTTACAATACATCCCGAATTTGGTTACATTTCACCAAAGCTGCCAGGCTGTCCTGTCCACACCACTTGCATCTCCCACCTGGAGTATCCACTAGCCTCCCTAGGGCTTCAGCCTTCAGACTTTCATCCTCTTCACTTCATAATCAACACAGCAACTGGAGTGACCCTGTTAAAATATGAGTTATGCGTGCCACTCATAACTATTCAAAGTCTTCTCATCTTACGCGTGGTGAAAAACTGGCTTTTGCAATCAACACAGCTCAACATGATCTGGCCCCACCTCACCTCTCCAACCTCATGTCCTACACAAACCTTCACTCCACTTGAGCCCCAATGTCATCTTTACTGCCCCTCAAACATAGTAGGCAGGCTTCCACCGCAGGGCCTTTGCACTATTCTCTCTACCTGGAATGCACTTCCCCAGCTATGTCAGCACAGCCGTTCCCTCATTTCCCCCTCATCTTTACCATGAAACACTCACAGTGAGGCCTCTGCTGTGTCATTCTAGCTAAAGTTGTAACTCACTCTCGTCCCAGCATGTCATATCCTTCTCTCTGACATTCCTTTTCTCCTTAGCATTTATCATCGACATTTTGATTTCACTTCTTGTCCGGCCCCCTCACTGGAACATAAGCTCCATATGGGCAGTACCAGGTATTCCTAGGGCCTGGTAAATACCTGGCACACAGTAGGTGCTAAATAGGTATTTTTTCAGTGAAGCATAGCTTCCATGATTCTGATGATTTGAGGGGAAAAGAATTTGAATTGGTTAAAAAAAATCCGTATGGCAGTCAATTTTCCAAAAATATTACCATGCCTTGACAAAATATTTAATAAAACAGAGTATGTCAGGTGCTTTGTGGGTTCTACCATAGGAAGCATTTAAGAATTAAGAATTTACAACCTGGAACAATTTAATTTTAGATTTTGTCCTTTGTTGAGAGTCTCTAGTCCCTCTCCTTGGCCATCATGTTTTCTGTAACCTCTCCTCGTGCAACATCATCTTGCCCTTGACTTTCATTGCCTCAATGTCAATGACTCCCTAATTGATGTCTGAAGTCACCTCTTTGCTAAGCTCCAGCTCCACATTTCCAGGCCTGGAAGCCAGAGGTCCTTCAAACACAGTCTGTGGCAAATTCATGCTTCCTTTCCCAAACACACCTCTTCTCTGTCCCCTTGTTACAGAGCGAGCTCTTACCTTTTGTCCCCTACTGAGCCAGTCGGTGTCGTCCGTCAGTGTCTGATTCCTTTCCTTCCACCGGGTATCTAATCACTCATCGAGTACCACAAACCTTAGAGTGGGGTATGCCCGTGTGAGTGGCACATTTTAAAAGACACACAGAGCCTTGAGCAGGCCAACTAGACGATAACCACCAGGAAACAGAGGCCAGAGTGGGGCCAATGCAGACTGGAAACTGCTACACCAGGGCCTGGGGGCTAGGTGCCTGCAGAACAGAAATCTCTGGGAGATGCGACGACCTCTTGGTAAAACCCGGAGTTTTTCAGGAATTTGGGGCAAAGCTGCCTGGGTAACATTCAGCCAGGAACAGAGGAACACTTGAGAGCTAGATCCACAAGTTCCTGGAAAGAAATTCTATACAAAGAGGAAAATGGCCAGCACCTGAAAAAGTCTTTGAGAAGTATATAAAAGCAGCAAAAAAAATACAAATGTCACTCATATTAACAGGACTTAAAATTAACATCACCATTTTTCATATTAGCCTACGCTTTTTTTAAGAAAGAAAACATTACCGATTTAACTCAGGTTTTCCCTTTAACCACAAGCTTCCTCCTTATTCCTGTCCACTTTCTGCCAAGGACACTCACTATCTGGAGTTTGTGCATTCTTCTGGACCATTTTAAAATCCTTTATACATGGGGTCAGTGCTGTGGCTCACTTGGTTAATCCTCTGCCTGCAGTGCTGGCATCCCTTATGGTGGCCAGGTTCTAGTCCCGGTTGCTCCTCTTCCAGTCCAGCTCTTTGCTGTGGCCTGGGAGGGTAATGGAGGATGGCCCAAGTGCTTGGGCCCCTGCATTCGCATGGGAGACCAAGAGGAAACACCTGGCTCCTGGCTTCGGGTCAGTGTAGCTCTGGCTGTAGCGGCCATTTGGGAGGTGAACCAACAGAAGGAAGACCTTTCTCTCTATCTCTCTCTCACTGTCTTTGCCCCTGCCTGTCAAATAAAAAAAAAAATCCTTTATACAAATACATATGAATTCACATGGAGACCTTTTTTGTGTTTTTGGATGATTAGAAAAAGTATCATACTACTCGGGGCCGGTGCTGTGGCACAGCGGGTTAATGCCCTGACCTGAAGCACCAGCATCCCATATGGGCACCGGTTCTAGTCCCAGCTGCTCCTCTTCTGATCCAGCTCTCTGCTATGGCCTGGGAAAGCAGTGGAAGATGGCCCAAGTCTTTGGGCCCCTGCACCCGCATAGGGGACCGGGAGGAAGCTCCTGGCTTCTGGCTTTGGATCAGCGCAGCTCCAGCTATTGCTACCAATTGGGGAGTGAACCATCTAATGGAAGACCTCTCTCTCTCTCTCTCTTTCGCTCTCTCTCTCTCTGCCTCTCCTCTCTCTGTGTGTAACTCTGACTTTCAAATAAATAAATAAATCTTTAAAAAAAAAAGACATGTATTTAAAAAAAAAGTATCATACTAAAATCTATTGTTCTGCAACTTGCATTTTTCTCCAATATTTATTTCTTAGACCTTGTAACATTAGGTAGATCTACCGCATTCCTTTTCATTGCCATGTAGTATTTAATTTTATAAAATACCACATATCAGAGTGCCTCGGTTTGAGTCCCAGCTCCACTCCCAGTTCCAGTTTCCTGCTAATGTGCTCTCTAGGAGGCAGTGAGTGATGGCTCAAGTACTTGGGTCCCTGCCACCCATGTGGGAGCCCTGGAAGGAGTTCCTGGGTCCTGGCCTTGGCCTGGCCCAACCCGAGCTGTCGCAGGCCTTTGGGGAGTGGACTAGTAGAAAGGAGATCTCCCCCCCCCCCATCACCTTTCAAATAAATAAAAATAAATTTACAAAAATGAAACCCAAAATAAAATCATTTTTTAAAGTAAGGAGGAGAAATGTATGGGGATGTCAGGTGGTCTGTGTCTCGGACGTCTGAGAAGCTGAGAGTGGGAGGCCCTTGAGGGAGTGTTGAATGCACCGCTTTCTAACGTGCTGATGAACATTAGCAGAAGCTGAAAGTGTTTCTTGACTAAGCAATCATGCTCCTGGTAGTTTCCTTGTGGGGGCAGGTGTTTGGTGCAGTGGGTAAGACAGTGTTTGGGACTCCTGCATCCCATATCAGAGCCCTGGATCTGCTCCCACTTCCCGCTTCCTGCTGATAAGCACCCTGGGAGACAGCAGACAGTGGCTCAAGTACTTGAGTTCCTGCCACTCACGGGAGACCCAGAATTAATTCCCAGTTCCTGCCTTTGGCCTGGTCCACCCCTGACTGTTGCAGGTATTTGGGGATCTCTGTGTCTGTCTCACTCTCTCTTTGTCACTCAAATAAATGAAACAAAATAAAATAGCTAAAATTATAGAAACAAAGTTTCCTTGTAATGTGGCAAGTTCTGTGTCATGACAGAGCTCAAGGGAAGACAATAAACAGTCCTGGGGATATTGGGAAAAGGAATTAAGGCCACAGGTAAGGATTTGGATGTCATGGCTTGTACAAATTTTTCAATCTAGAATTTTATGATTTTACTCCTCCATATCTTGTATTTATGGGTAAATGTTTTAACTCTAATCTGTTTGTTTCACCTCTATTATCTTCAATGTTAAAGAATTTTTTTGCCATCAGAAATCAATTGTTAGCTTCTGTGCCAGCTGACAGTGTTGTGATTATGAAGATGTGCTGTTCACATTTGTTGACTGAATATTTTGGAGATCTTCCAAAAATCTTTCCTTCTTTTATAAAATGGTGACCTACTTTGGAATTTAATGTTTAGAATGTCATTTTCTTTTACAGAATAAAATGGTATTAACTGAAATACCCTGTAAGTCAAAAGCCAAAAGGGATTCAATGTTCTAAATGTTTATTTGATTTTGTCTCAAAGGTTAACAGCTTTTGCTTTAAGAGTACTTGGACAAGTAAATAAATATGTAGAACATAACCAAAATTTAATTTGCAATTCTTTATTATGGCTGGTTGAGAATTGCCAATTAGAAAATGGATCTTTTAAGGATGATTCCAAGTATCAACCAATAAAATTACAGGTAAGGAAACCAAGTATATAAATTAACAATAGTTTTATTTATATACAAGTTTGAGTTTCATTCTCAACCTATTATGAGAAGATGAAGAAGACAGGAAAAAATATATGTACACTTGCAAGAAACTCTCTCTGTGAATGGACAAAGAATATGAAAGGCCTCCCTGTACTCTCTAAAGTCAAGAGATCTTCAGACGGTTCACTAGAGGTCAGATAAGTGATATCTTAGATTCTTTGTATCACAGACCTTCCTGGTTCCTAGGAGTAAATTCCAGAGCTCTCACAATGAGTAAAATGTACTAATCTGTCCACGTGCCGTTGGTGTGGAATCTATACCTAAAGTTCAGAGCCTTCTTGCAGTTCAGAGCTGCATGGTATTGTCATGAAAGACAGGACCCTATATCCCTGTTAGTAAGAGGTTGGGGCTGATTTATAGCAGAGTGCAACAAAGCATTACTTGCGACTAGAATCTACTTACAAGTTTGAATTATCAAGCAATTATAACATCACTCTAAGACATCTCAGTAATGTCTTAGAATTCAATAGAATCTTTTTGTTTCTTATCTCTCCCATCCAATCTCTCCTATCATGCATGAGTGAGTTCTGTGATTCACAGTAGGTTTCATAGGACTCCTGGAATAAGTGAAGACAACTGAAATCATCTAGTTGGTATTTGAAAAGTAAAACACTATAACATTTTTTCTTGAGATACTCACCAATCTATCTATCCATCCATCCATCTATTTATTTATCCACAATCATTCAACAAACATTGACTGAGCACCTGATATGGTCGGGATGGGCCCCAGATGGTATCCTTGCCACCAAAGAGTTCATGCACTGGTAGAAAAGGTAGGGTATATACGCTAGTATAGGAGCTGGTGTTGTGTAGACTGTAACACAGCCGCCTGCAGTGATAATGGCCTGAGAAAGTCAGCACAAGATGGCCCAAGTGTTTGGGCCCCTGCCACCCATATGAGAAACCCAGATGAAACTCCTGGCTCCTGGCTTCTACCTGGCCAGCGCTGCCCATTGTGGCCATCTGGGGAGTGAACCAGCAGATGGAAATCTCTCTCTGTCCCTCTCTATCTGTAACTCTGACATTCAAACAAACAGATATCCTTTTAAAAAAAAAATGCTGGTATGAACACTAGCAACTCTTATCAAAATGCAAGTTCATGTACTTATTAAAAAAGCGTATACTGAATATATACTAAATATAACAGTGAACAAAATAGGTGTTGTCACGTGCTGTAAAGCTTACAGTATAACAGAGAAGTCAGAATTATGTCATTTCAAGCATGTGATACATGCTAAGAAAAGTTAATGTAGTAGTTGAAGGCAGGAGATTTGACCTATGCTGGGGAAGTTGATAAAATGAGTTGACCAGGTTCTAGGAGATAAGTACTGAAGGAAGCAGGAAGAGTGTTCCAAGTAGAGCAGACAGCACACTTAGCATTCTTTTTCAGGGTTAATACCAGTCTTTATTTTTTGTTGAAAATTAAAATTCTATTATATTTATGTTATAAAACATGATATTTAGATCTATGTATACAATGTAAATGACTAAGTGAGCTAATTAATATATGCGTTACCTCACATAATAACCATTGGGTTTTTTTTTTTTTGTGGTGAGAACATTTAAAATCTACTCTCTCAATAATTTCCAAGTACTACAGAATACATTGTTATTAACAATAATCACCATGCTGGATCTCCTGAATTCATTCTTGACTAAATTAAAATTTTCATCCGTTGACCAACATCTTCCCAATTATCCTCTCATTCCAAGCCTTCTTTTTATTTTCTACTTCTGTAAGTTCAACTTTTTTACATTCTACATACAAATAAGTGACATCATGCTGTATTTATCTATCACTTAGCGTAATATCTTCTAGGTTCATCTGTGTTGTCAAAAATGACAAGATTCATTTCTTTTGATAGGTGAAATAGTATTCTGGTGTGTGTGTGTGTGTTTCCTTTATCCAGTCATCCATTGATGGACATTTAGGTTGATTGCACATCTTGGCTTTTGAACATGGGAGTGCAGCTGTCTCTTCAATATACCGATTTCATTTCCTTTGGCTGTGTAACCAAAAGTGAAGTCACTGGCTCACAACATACTCCTATTTTAATGTCCGTACTGTTTTCCATAATGGCTGTGCAAATTTACATCCCCACTAACAATGTGCAGTGCTTCTCTTTTCTACATTTCCTTGACAACACTTTTTATCTCTTGTCTTTTTGTAATAGTCATCCTAAGAGGTTGGTATCTCACTGTATTTCACTTTGTATTGCCTGATTATTAGTGATTAAGCATTTTTCTACATATTTGTTATGTCGTTTTGAATTAGAAGGGGAAGGTGATTCATTCAGCGGACTGAGAGGTAGATAGTGAGGTTGGTGAGAAGGAGAGATGAACATGGAAAGGCACTGAGGTGGGGCTGGAGTTGTGGTCCGGGGGGTTGGGCCACAGGCTGCAATGCCAGCATTCCATATGGGTACCAGTTTGAGTCCTGGCTGCTCTACTTCCAATCCAGCTCCCTGTTAATGTGCCTGGGAAAGCAGCAGAGGATGGCCCAAGTCCTTGGGCCCCTGCACCCACGTGGGAGATCCTGGCTCCTGTTTTGGCCTGTCAGAGCCCCGTTTGTGGCCACTGGGAAGTGAGCCAGAGGATGGAAAATCTCTCTCTGTGTGTCTCCTCTGTCTCTGCTTCTCTCCCTGTAACTCTATCAAAAATTAATTAATTTTTAAAAGGCACTGAGATAAGTAAGGAGTCCCAGAGCTTATTGAGGAACAATAAGCAGTCCAGCTGAAGTAGATGATGGGAAAGAGTGGGAGATAAAGTGCAAAATAGGCACTAGAACCAAGCAATTTCACTTTAAAGACATCACTTCACTCTCCTTTCGAAACACCACTTATTTTTAGGGTACCCTGCCGGTGGAAGCCAAAGAGAACAGCTTGTATCTTACAGCCTTCACGGTGATTGGAATTAGAAAGGCCTTTGACCTATGTCCCCTGCTGGTGAGTAGACATTTTTCTCTCTCTAGACCCATCACCTATTCTGTACCAAATACTGGAGGGGCCACCCGTCAGAAGACACTCAGTCTCCAAATCTTTTCCTTCTTTTCACGTTACTTGAAACCAACCTTAGCTGCAGGATGAAAGGATTTTAGAAATGTTGCAGGGATTAAAGATACCCTAGTCCAAGCTACTTGATAGTTGAGAAAGCTAAGGCCTGGAAGTATGAGTTCAATTGCTCTGTGTCATGGGACTATAGAACCAGTAACTGGGACTACGATGGGAAAATGACCCAGTGTCCTCAGCTTCCCTCTCTTAACTTCTGCTAAGTCTTACTATATGGCATTAGTGGTATTCTGTAGTAGAGTTCTTCTGTATCCTGCAGGATAAGGATATACAACAGCAGGTTTGCTCCCTTGGGTTGTACAGTTTCATTTGCTTAGAAGATGGGGGAGGGGGAATAGAAGATATGCCTAAATGAATCAACACAGAAGACTCCAAACATCCATGGAATTGACACAATGCTCTGGGAAGAGATAGCTCCCTGAGCGATGTTAAACACTCTTGCCTGAAAATCAGAAGTCAATCATGTATATCCTTCAAACCAGGATACAGAACCAAGATGCAAAATCTCAAGAGGATTAGCAAGACTGCAACCACAAAACAAAGCCACTTTTCAAAGTTTGTTTCAAAAGCATTGGTTTTTATACTTAAGATAAAATAACAAGAGAGCTAGCTTTTACCTTAGAAGTTAAGACATCCTAATCGCATGTCACAGTGTCTGGATTTGAGTGCTGGTTCTGGCTTGACTCCAGCTGCCCTCCAATGCAGACCCTGAAAAGCAGTGGTGATGGCTCAAATAACTGGGTTCCTGCCACCCATACAAAAGACCTGCGTTGTATTCACAGCTCCTGGCTCCAACCATTGCAGAATTTGGGGAGAAAACCAGCAGATAGGAGCTCTCTCTATCTGACTCTCTCTTTCTCTCTGTCCCTGTATGTCTATATCTCTACCTTGCAAAATTTAAAAAAATAATAAAACTCTTAAAAGCAATAATCAACAAGGACCAGTTCCCAGAGCCCTAGATAACAAATTGGTATCTGGTGGCCACATGACCAGAGAAGCATTGTGGTGCTGAGAGGAGGAGCCAGGCAGGAGGCTAGCAGCATCACATCAGGCTTTCTCCTGACCCACTCCCCAGAATCACTAGGACAAAGTGACAGGGACTCTTTTCACGGGAATTCTTAGAATTAAAAAATATTTTGGCATTTTGGGGTTTTCTATTTTTTTTTTAAATTATAACTCTTCTTTGGACATGTGAGCCCATCTCAGCTCTGCTGAGAAGGAATCCTGAAAGCTGTATCTGTGCTTGGTGCCTCCTCCTGGAAGCCAGAGCTGACGTTGGAATCAGAAACCAAAGGGACAAAACTTCAAAAGAGGAAGTGAGAATGCAGAGACCGGAAGCTCAGCCTCATCTGAACACTCGCATGGTCCTCTTGGCTCTGTTTTCTTGGGAGGATTTTCTTCCCTGAGCCGCCGTCCATTTCTACCCAGTCAGTCCTCTTTCCACCCTTCACTTGTCAGGATGCTGTGACCGGAGGGTGGCTCCCATCAGTTGATATCCCGATGCTTTGCCAAGAAGCTTAGGAGTCTTCTGCTCCTGTTTCTAGAAAATCAGCACAGCTCTAACGAAAGCTGAGAACTTTCTGCTTGAAAATACCCTCCCAGCCCAGAGCACCTTTACCCTGGCCATCGCAGCTTACGCGCTCTCCCTGGGAGACAGAACTCACCCACAGTTTCGTGCCATCGCCTCAGCCCTGAAGAGGGCAGCCTCAGTTAAAGGTATGACTCATTCCATATGCTCGATCACAAATGTGCATGAAGCACATAGACTCTCCTGATTCAGGGGAGTGAGTGGCATGCGAAGTTTAGTGAGATCCAGCCCCTGCCCTCATGGAATAAACCATCGCAGTCCCATGCAGTAGGCGCTGTTCATCATTCATTCCGCAAATACTTATTCCTTCCTTTATTTGACAAATAGGTATCGAGTAGTCTGTGGATGCCTCCTACGTGCCAGGCACTGTTCTAGGCTCTGGGGATAAAGCAACACACAAAAGAGAACCCCAAAAATCTAGGCCCTCATGAAGCATACATTCTGATATGAGAGGAAAAAAAAAAAACAGTGACTAATCAAAACTGAATAAATTGGTGATGACTGATATGAAGTAAAATCAAACAGGGAGAGGAGGAAACGTGAGGCTATGGGCTGGTTATTCTCGATAGGATGATTGGGTGCAAGTCTCTCGGAGATGGGATGTGAGACCTGAAAGAAGGTGAGAGAGCAGGCCCTGTGGCTGCCTGGAAGGGTGTTCCTGGGGGAGAAACAGCAGGTGCGGAAGCTGAAGACACATGAACTCCAAGGACAAGGGGTGTGACTGCAGAGGCACAGCATGAGTCCAAAGTGAGGTCTGGGAAGCAAAGGGTGGGGGAGCCAGAGACGGTCATGTTGTAAGGTAGAGGTCATTACAGGGGCTCTCCAAGGCTTCTGTGTGCAGCTGTGCAGTGGACAAGGCACTTCAAGCAAGCAGGTGGATTGACACTGAAATTCAGCCACACATCCTGGGTTAGGGCTGCTTCCACCCAGATCACGGAGTGCCTTGCCACATTCATGTGGGAGCCAAAGGAAGCCTTAGAACTTTACCACTTCTTAGGGTTAGAAGGGAAGCCAGCAAAGTGACCTGGTCTGTATTTTTCCAAGTTTACTATAAACATATGTATTTTGTTTGAATAATAAAACTACTGCTTCCTGGAGGCCAGGAGTACAGAAACAGAGAATAGCAGAAGTCATTGGCATGACTGGGAACTTCTGAACCCTCTCCTGGGGTTTTATAAAAGTTTTATAAATCTTACATGAGGTTCACAGCTGCCTACAATATTTCACTCTGTCATCACTGTAAAATGAATACATTTTAACATATGCTTCAAAACCATTTGTACAATTCTTTAAAAATAACACAGAGAAATGTCCTGGGCATTGTAAGATAAAGGTCATAAAACGATAGAATTTAAGAGGTAGAAGGGAACTTAATAATTCAAATACTGTTTGAACTGGGAGTTTATAACTCTCAACTAAACCTTTCCTTTTAAATATAACAAATCTGGCATCTGAGAGGAAGGGAAATATTTTGTACAAATTCATGCAAATAATGCAGATATTTTTCTGATACAAATACAGATACATCAAAAGTTTACTAACTTCAAAAATTATTTCCAAGTATATTTTACTGTTTCATAAAAAAAGGATTGCTACAAACAGTATCTGAAGTGGCAGGTTTAAATTACTTTTGCAATAACAAACATAAATTAGAATCAAATTAATGAAAAGTGCTGCATATATGAAACTATCATTGGTGCTTTAAATTCGTGTCATCCTTGTGCAGGGGCCACGCTAATCTTCTCTGAATTGTTCCAATTTTAGTGTATGTGCTGCCGAAGCGAGCACGGTGCTTTAAATTCGAAGAAAATAATAAAAGACCAAACTAAGACTTTTTGGATGTGAATTTTTTCCACTAGGGAAAAAAGTTTACCAATCTTGTAGTATTAGTAATAGTGGTCCTTTATATGTACATGGTGCTTTCTGGTTTATAAAAACTTTTACATTTGTAATGTCTTTGAGTTTTACTGAACAGAAGGAAGCATTATCTATACTGTAAGTGTTATCCAATGAGCCCCACAGAACTCAAGGGGCTTACTCAAGGTGAACCTAGGTCTACTAATTCCCAGTTCATCATACTTTCCATTCTACTATAATACCTCTTCCTAGTTCATATGGGTATTCTATGTTGATCTTTGAAAATACAAAATTAGAAAAAGCACTGTATTAAGAGATTTTGTTTTGTGTTGGCCACCTTAAGGACATTCTTCTTACAATAAGAAAAAAAGTAAGTAACTTCTATAAACCAGAAAGCCACCAGTATTGTTATGTCAAGTTCACATTTTTAATCATGCTAATGACTGGCAATTGTTGATATGCAGGTGGTAGTCCACCCATTTACCGTTTTTGGAAAGATGGTCTTCAACAGCATAAAGACACTTCGGCACCTAACGCTGGCACAGCAGGCATGGTAGAAACCACTGCCTACGCTTTGCTCACCAGTCTGAACTTGAAAGAGATGAATTATGTTAACCCGATCATCAAATGGTTGTCTGAAGAACAGAGGTACGGAGGTGGCTTTTATTCAACCCAGGTAATGTTTCTTTGTCTTGTTTCATCCTTGTGGAAACCTTTCTATTGTCTCCCAAACCACACATTCCACACCCAGTGGCTTCCATGCCTTCGTCCACCAAATGAACATAACATAGATATGAATAGATGTCTGGGTTTGAAGGGCCCCCAGAGGCTAACGGGATTGATACCCTTGTTATACAGAGGAGGAAATGAGCCCAGGGAAGCTCAGTTAAGGAACTGGCAGAAGAATCAAGATCAGAACTTATGTCTCCTGTTGCCAAGCCCAGAACTTCCTTTTTATTTCTTAATGACCATGAAAAGCTAGTAAGGTTATTAGTAATTGCATCACATCCTATGTAATAGACAGTGGTTGCCATGTAGACAAAGGTACTAATGTTTCCTGCCCTGCAAAAAAAATAAATACAGAAGGAGAGAAATACTGAGTGGTGTATGCTTACTTATCTATCAATGCAAACTCATCTGAGTGCGCGTATTTTGTGTTATACATAACTACTATGTGGTTGTGCAATTGTTGCATGCAGTCATGCAGGACATAATGACACTGCAGTCAACAATAGACTGCTACACAGTGGGTTAGTACAAATAAAGTTATGATGGAGCTCAAAATCCCTGTGACTTAGTGATGTTAGCTGTTATAACGTCTTTTTTTTTTTTTTTTTTTTTGACAGGCAGAGTTAGTGAGAGAGAGACAGAGAGAAAGGTCTTCCTTTTCCATTGGTTCACCCCCAAATGGCCTCTGGAGCCAGATGCTTCCTCCTGCTCTCGCATGCGGGTACAGGGCCCAAGCACTTGGGCCATCCTCCACTGCTCTCCCAGGCCACAGCAGAGAGCTGGACTGGAAGAGGAGCAACTAGGACTAGAACCTGGTGCCCCAACTGGGACTAGAACCTGAGGTGCCGGCGCCACAGGCGGAGGATTAGCCAAGTAAGCCGCGGCGCTGGCCTGTTATAACGTCTTAACACAGCACATCACTCACATGTTTGTGGTGATGCTGGAACAAACAAACCCATTGTGCTGCCAGTTGTATAAAAGGATAGCACATATAGTTATGTACAGTAAATAATACTTGATAATGCTAATAAATGACCATGGTACTGGTTTTATTCAATATTATTTTAAGGTATATTCCTACTTGTGAAGAAAAAAAATTTTTTTTGGAATTTTAAACTCTTTATTTTCAGTTATCATTGAAATTTTAGCATAAATATATATTACATTCTTCGATGAATTTTAAAAGGCAAGCATGCTGCAGAATATAGTCAGATGATAACTTTTGACATAAATTTTTCCCCAAAGAAACATGTTTCTTCTTTACATGACCATTAATTGATTGATTTATGTTTGTATTCATTTAATTTTCTTTTTTTTTTCTTTTTTTTTTTAGTAAATATAAATTTCCAAAGTACAGTTTATGGATTACATTGGCTTTCCCCCCATAATTTCCCTCCCACTCACACCCCTCCCATCTCCTGCTCCATCTCCCATTCCATTCACATCAAGATTCATTTTCAATTATCTTTATATACAGAAGATCAATTAACTATATATTAAGTAAAGATTTCATCAGTTTGCACCCACACAGAAACACAAAGTGTAAAAATACTGTTTCAGTACTAGCTGTAGCATTACTTCACATTGGACAACACATTAAGGGCAGATCCCACATGAGAAGTAAGTACACAGTGACTCCTGTTGTTGACTTAACAAATTGACACTCTTGTTTATGGCGTGAGTAGTCTCCCTAGGCTCTAGTTTTGAGTTGCCAAGGCTATGGAAGCCTTTTGGGTTTGCCGACTTCGATCTTAATCCGACAGGGTCATAGTCAAAGTAGAAGTTCTCTCCTCCCTTCAGAGAAAGGTACCTCCTTCTTTGATGGCCCCATTCTTTTCACTGGGATCTCACTCACAGAGATCTTTCATTTAGGTCTTCTTTTTTTTTTTTTTTTCCCAGAGTGTCTTGGCTTTCCATGCCTAAAATACTCTCATGGGCTCTTCAGCCAGATCCGAATGCCTTTAGGGCTGATTCTGAGGCCAGAGTGCTATTTAGGACATCTGCCATTCTATGAGTCTGCTGTGTATTCTGCTTCCCATGTTGGATCGTTCTCTCCCTTTTTGATTCTATCAGTTAGTAATAGCAGACACTAGTCTTGTTTGTGTGATCCCTTTGACTCTTAGACCTATCAGTGTGATCAATTGTGAACTGAAATTGATCACTTGGATTAGTGAGATGGCATTGGTACATGCCACCTTGATGGGATTGTATTGGAATCCCCTGGCACATTTCTAACTCCACCATTTGGGGCAAGTCCGATTGAGCATGTCCCACATTGTACATCTCCTCCCTCTCTTATTCCCACTCTTATATTTAATAGGGATCACTTTTCAGTTAAAATTTAAACACCTAAGAATAATTGTGTGTTAATTACAGAGTTCAACCAATAGTACTAGAACAAAAAAAATACTAAAAGGGATAAAGTATTGCATTGTACATCAACAGTCAGGACAAGAGCTGATCAAGTCATTGTTTCTCATAGTGTCCATTTCACTTCAACAGGTTTCCCCTTTGGTGCTCAGTTAGTTGTTGCCAATCAGGGAGAATATATGATATTTGTCCCTTTGGGACTGGCTTAATTCACTCAGCATAATGTTTTCCAGATTCCTCCATCTTGTTGCAAATGACCAGGTTTCATTGTTTTTGACTGCTGTATAGTATTCTATAGAGTACATGTCCCATAATTTCTTTATCTAGTCTACTGTTGATGGGCATTTGGGTTGGTTCCAGATCTTAGCTATTGTGAATTGAGCTGCAATAAACATTAAGGTGCAGACAGCTTTTTTGTTTGCCAATTTAATTTCCTTTGGGTAAATTCCAAGGAGTGGTATGGCTGGATTGTATGGTACGGTTATATTCAGGTTTCTGAGGAATCTCCAGACTGACTTCCATAGTGGCTTAACCAGTTTGCATTCCCACCAACAGTGGGTTAGTGTCCCTTTTTCCCCACATCCTTGCCAGCATCTGTTGTTGGTAGATTTCTGAATGTGAGCCATTCTCACCAAGGTGAGGTGAAACCTCATTGTGGTTTTGATTTGCATTTCCCTGATTTCTAGTGATCTTGAACATTTTTTCATGTGTCTGTTGGCCCTTTGGATTTCCTCTTTTGAAAAATGTCTATTGAGGTCCTTGTCCCATCTCTTAAGTGGGTTGTTTGTTTTGATGTTGTGGAGTTTCTTGATTTCTTTGTAGATTCTGGTTATCAACCCTTTATCTGTTGCATAGTTTGCAAATATTTTTTCCCATTCTGTCGGTTGCCTCTTCACATTCCTGACTGTTTCTTTTGCAGTACAGAAACTTCTCAATTTGAAGCAATCCCAAATGTTAATTTTGGCTTTGACTACCTGTGTTTCTGGGGTCTTTTCCAAGAAGTCTTTGCCAGTACCTATATCTTCAGGGTTTCTCCAATGCTCTCTAATAATTTGATGGTGTTGGGTCATAGATTTAAGTCTTTAATCCATGTTGTGTGGATTTTTGTGTAAGGTGAAAGGTAGGGGTCTTGCTTCATACTTCTGCACGTGGAAATCCAATTTTCCAAGCACCATTTATTGAATAGACTGTCCTTACTCCAGGGATTGGTTTTGGATCCTTGATCAAATATAAGTTGGCTATAGATGTTTGGATTGATTTCTGGTATTTCTATTCTGTTCCATTGGTCTATCCATCTGTTTCTGTACCAGTACCATGCTGTTTTGATAACAATTGCCCTGTAGTATGTCCTGAAATCTGGTATTGTGATGCCTCCGGCTTTGTTTTTGTTGTACAAGATTGCTTTAGCTATTTGAGGTCTCCTGTGTCTCCATATGAATTTCAGCATCATTTTTTCCACATCTGAGAAGAAGGTCTTTGGTATCTTGATTGGTATTGCATTGAATCTATAAATTGCTTTTGGGAGAATGGACATTTTGATGATATTGATTCTTCCAATCCATGAGCATGGAATATTTTTCCATTTTTTGGTATCCTCTTCTATTTCTTTCTTTAAGGTTTTGTAATTTTCATCATAGAGATCTTTAACGTCCTTGGTTAAGTTTATTCCAAGGTGTTTGATTGGTTTTGTAGCTATTGTGAATGGGATTGATCTTAGAAGTTCTTTCTCAGCCATGGCATTGCCTGTGTATACAAAGGCTGTTGATTTTTGTGCATTGATTTTATATCCTGCTACTTTGCCAAACTCTTCTATGAATTCCAATAGTCTCTTAGTAGAGTTCTTTGGGTCCCCTAAATAAAGAATCATATCATCTGCAAAGAGGGATAGTTTGAGTTCTTCCTTCCCAATTTGTATCCCTTTAATTTCTTTTTCTTGCCTAATAGCTCTGGCTAAAACTTCCAGAACTATACTGAACAGCAGTGGTGAGAGTGGGCATCCCTGTCTGGTACCAGATCTTAGTGGAAATGCTTGTAACTTTTCCCCATTCAATAGGATGTTGGCCATGGGTTTTTCATAAATTGCTTTGATTGTATTGAGGAATGTTCCTTCCATACCCAGTTTGCTTAGAGTTTTCATCATGAAAGGATGTTGTATTTTATCAAATGCTTTCTCGGCGTCTATTGAGATAATCATATGATTTTTCTTCCGCAGTCTGTTAATGTGGTGTATCACGTTGATTGTTTTGCGCACATTGAACCATCCCTGCATACCAGGGATAAATTCCACTTGGTCTGGGTGGATGATCTTTCTGATGTGTTGTTGCATTCTATTGGCCAAAATTTTATTGAGGATTTTTGCATCTATGTTCATCAGGGATATTGGTCTGTAATTCTCTTTCAATGCTGCATCTTTTTCCAGCTTAGGAATTAAGGTGATGCTGGCTTCATAGAAAGAATTTGGGAGGATAGAAAAATTTTACTGTAAAACACTCTGCCCTGGTACACTAGCAGCATCCTCATATGTCTCCTGCTTACTCTGTCTCTTACTGCATCTGGGTTTGTAGAACTCTACAGTGTACTCACATTAACAAATTCATCTAGCAACATGAGTCTCAGAAAATATCCCACTAGGAAGCAATGCATGATTACATATCTGTATTCAACGTGTAGTTCAATTGTTAACATCTTCCATGTGCCCTGGATGTTTAGCTAATGATGGAGTTCATATTGTGTGTATTGTGTTTGAGTGTCTGTGTGTGTGTGTGTGTGTGTGTGTATGTAGAGGTAGAGGTAAAGGTAGGAGGGTCTCTCAGTCTCTCATGATTAATTTAGTGCTCATCTAAGGATTTCCTCGTGCATATAATTGTAGGCTTACCAGAAAATAGTACCATGTTTATTTGCTGCCCGGGGACATAGGCAGAGGGTGTGGCCAAGTATTTAATATTTCTGACCTAGTTATTTTTTGTGCTAATATAAAAGAATACTATAGACTGGGTAATTTATGATGAACAGAAATTTGTTAGTTAACTCAAAGTTCTGGAGGTTGGGAAATCCTTGATCAGAGGTCAACATCTAGCAAGGGCCTTCTACCTCATTTCATGACAATAAGGAAGGGGGAGGCAAACTAGTCCTTTTATAAGGAACCCACTCCTAGAATAATGGCATTAATCTGTTCTTAATTAGGCTCTGCCTCCCAATAGTGCCACATTGGTGATCAAGTTTCTAACACATGAACTTTGGGGGCACATTTGAAGCAAGCCAACACCAACAAAGATCTATGATATATCACCTACTTGCCCCACCAATCTTACATTACAGCTTGAAAGGAAAACAATTAACTGTTCATGAAAGTAGTACACGTTGAGATGAATGGTATGAAGGGCAGAAGGGGAACAGTAAAACAGAATAATAGGAGGGGGAGTTATGGCCTCACTGCAGATATTTAAGCTGCGACAGAAGCATGAGAAATAGTGACCATATAGAGTTGGAGCAAGGAGTGACTTTCCTGAGGCAACAAGTGCAGAATATGAAGAGGGCCTGGAACTGAAGCCACACTTCCTTCCTCACCCTGCCAAGAACAGCATCCCTACTGAGGAGGGAGGGACCCCCTCCACCCATGATGGGGCTCTTAACCCATTTCAGCCAGTCAGCTGGAGGTTCATCTCCAGACAGTGCTGCCCTATCCTCTCATAAGAAAGTTAATTTGGAAACAAGGAGTTTATAAATGAGCTAAACATGTTTTTGTGCCTTGTTGATTGTTGATAGGATACAATTAATGCCATCGAAGGCCTGACAGAATATTCTCTCCTGGTTAAACAACTCCAACTGGATATGGACATCAATGTCTCTTACAAGCACAAAGGTAACTTCCAGAATTACAAGATCACAGAGAAGAATTTCCTTGGGAAGCCAGTAGAGGTAAATGAAGAATTTTTCATAATATTTTATAATGGGAGTAGTGTTAAAATCATCTGTCCCACCCTTATTTCACAAATGTATTTATTTACTACTTAGACATGTTCTGAGTGTCTTCTAAGTTGTAAGCAGGGTGCCTGCTCTATCCTGGTCACTGGAGATTCAAAAATAAAACCCCCAAAACCCATATGTTGGAGAGATAGTCATTTAAATGGACAAGTGAGCAAGAAGAACCTGAGTGGCCATGTAGAAGTACACAGAGGGCCTCTTGATCCAGATGAAAGGTAGAAGGAGTTTGTCAAATATGTCCAGATGTGAGGATTAACTCTGGAAGAAACAGGAAGAAAGAATGGTCCAGACATATAATAACACACATGACCGTACCGCGGTAAAATAAGAGAAAAGATGTGTTTGGGAGTCTGCTGTTGATTCTGACTGACCCCAGACACACATAACACTGTGACCAAGCTGGAATTGGCCTTTAGGTCCTGCAACTCCTTGTCCCATATCTTTTGCTACTGCTGGATTTTTGAAAGTGAAAACTTTGCTGGTTTATGAAAAATTGCCAAAGAAAAAGACTTATTGGAAAAACTAGATTCTATACTAATACTAGCTGCCAGTATACTGCTGCTAATACTTATTTTACTGATTACTATGTTTGTGTTATACGCAAGTAAAGTTGGAAATAGTCCTCGCCATTCACATCCTCCACAAATCTGTTTGTGAAAAGTAAATAGGCATAAAAAATTCCAAATTTAAGGCAAAAATTACAAACAGATGACCCATAGGAAAATGTTTATAGAAATGGATATAGATATACACAAAGACTTAGATGCTAAATTTAAAGATGCAAAGATTTGAATAAAAATCTGATGCACAATTATCCCTAAAAAACCAAAAGATCTGGTGACAGACGTCTGGATGCTGGTAGGCCTTCTTCAATTGGCTGCATCCCCACCACCACACTTCTTGCCTGGCCTCTGCAGGCATTTGTGCTAGCTTGGGGATGCATCTCCTTTCCTGGGAACGTTTAGAGCTCCCCAGAGGTTCACGTTCTGAGTCAAGCTCTAAACAGGAGCTCTTGGCCTGAGGAGCACGGTGGGCCCATCTGAGGGCACTGGAACTGTTCTTGTCTGCAGGGGCAGTCCAGTCCAGGGCCTCTTGTCATCTTAGAGTAACACAAACCTCAGCCCAGCACGCTGCCTCCCTGTGAAACCTGAGTTGCTGTGACCTAGATTGGAATTACTGACACCAGAATTCCCCAAAATGTGTTGTGTGAAAGAATGTTAGGTGGGAAAGTAAGTGGGGGGAAATTCTCATCTAAATGAAGTTAGACAACTTACTTGGTAGAAGATTCTCCTGCTCTGTAACATGTACGTGACTAAGCATGGTGAGTCCAAGGCAGACAGAGGGCAGAGGCAGGGCACAAGGCATTCCCAAATTCATCTGTCAGTGGAAGCTGCTGCTCATGCAGCACCCCAAGGCACTCATTTTCCAGTAATTGCTACTATATTCTGTCAGAAAATAGGAAACTTGACCTGCTTTTCCTACATTTGCTTAAATTTGAAGGACGGATTAGCACACTTTAATGTATACCAGATCCCTTTTGCACTTTGTGCTAAGCAAGGGGAAGGGGAGGCCTCAGAGCAGGATAAGAAAAGAGGCAACTCTGCAGTTCCTTGCTCTAAATGTTCTCTCCCAAATTTGCCACAAATCAGGGAGTATTTGGATGATTAAGTTTCTCTGGAAAAGAGAATTACTCAACTCGGCTCATGTCTTCACTTTCGTCCTGGCAGAGCGAGAAGAACCACAGCAACTAAGGATTTGGCAAGCTGGGGTGGGGTGCCAGGGGCGTGGGGTAGGGCACCAGAGGTCTTGATAAACAGAGGACAGTAACAGTGGGGTCGATGAGCCATCAAGGGGTGGGAGAGGGGTTCCAAGGAGGAAGTAAGAGAGGACCTACAGTAGACTGCACTCCCTTTAAAGTGTGTGGAGGTGCCCTGTTCTCCATGTTAATGAAAACAGTCTCCACTGGGAATGCTGATTTGGAGCTAGACGTTGAGAGAAATTTATTCACTTGGCAAAAGGAAATGAAGACCCATTTTTACCGTTTTTACCGTAGTCATGTATAAATGAAACTGTAACCAACAGCAGCCTCTGATGTGTTGATTCTGTTGGCTCTCTCAGGAGATCTTCAACATCCTATGTATGTGTTAAGGGAAAAGGGGAGTTCGCACATTTTTTAGAGCCTATCTGGGCATAAATTTTCAATGTCATGTCCATTTACTCCCACAAGAGCTCTGGGAGGGGTCTGGTCTGTGTCAGCCCCTTCTTTTCGTTGTTCTCTCCTCCTTCCCTATCAAAGAATAAAAGAAATCACAGTCTCTCTATCCACCTTTCCAGGTGCCTCTCGACGATGACCTTGTCATCAGCACCGGCCATAGCAATGGCTTGGCTACAGTGCACGTAAGTATTTGATTAAGAGCCAATAAAGGTTGTGTCTGTTTGTGCTAGCGACTTCACCACAAAGTCACAGATATCGGACTTTGGGTAACTAAATGACTAGAGTAGGATTCCTTCAGTTTTTTCTTGTCATGGAAAGTCTTTATTTCCTCATTTCTGAAGGACAGCATTCCTGGATACAGTATTCTTGGCTGGCACACAATTTACTTATGATCATGACCGTGTTAATCTTTGTATGTAACACAGTCTGTATATTTGTGGAAATTATGTATCTAGAATTATACAGCTATATAATTTTTATGCATGTATACAAGAGTACTTCCTAAAGTCTGTGGAGTCAGTACAACAGTTAAGAAGCTGGTTGGGATATCTGTGTCCCATTTTGGAGTGCCTATGTTTGAATCCCAGCTCTACTCCCAACTCCAGCTTCCTGCTAATGCACACCCTTGGAGGCAAGTAGTCTGGGTACCTGCCACCCACATGAGAGACTCAAATTGAATTCCCAGATCCTGGCTTTGATCTGACCCAAACCAGCTGTTGTGGGCATTTGGGAAGTGAAACAGCAGAAGTGAAACAGCAGATGGGAGATCTCTTTGTCTCTCTCTATCTGCCTTTCAAATTTAATTAATTAACCAAATTAAAAGTTCATGGAAATGGGATGAAAAGATGTTTATTTTGGCACAAAAATTTGAAATTATGCATGCAAAAAGTCTTCAAAATTCATGGAAAATGCATATGATGAAAAAATTATGCATGGATTTCAAGCAATTTTGTGCCAAAATAAACTTTTTATCATTTAATTCCATTTTCTGTGAACTGTATTTTTTTTAACATTTATTTATTTAAAAGGCAGAGTGTTAAATAAATCTTTAGGAAAAAAAGAGTGGGTGCTGTGTTGCAGTGGGCTAAGCCTCTACCTGTGGCACTGGCATCCCACTTCCAATTAGGGTCCTGGCTACTCCACTTCCAATCCGTATATCTGCTATGGCTTGGAAAAGCAGTGGAAGATGCCCCAAGTCCTTGGGCCCCAGCACCTGAGTGGGAGACCTGGAACAAGCTCCTGGCTCCTGGCTTTGGATCAGCTCAGCTCTGGCCTTTGTGGCCATTTGGGGAGTGAACCAGCAGATGGAGGACCTCTCTCCCTCTCTGCCTCTGCCTCTCTGTAACTCTACCTTTCAAATAAATAAATAAATCTTTTTTAAAAAATAAAGGACAGAGAGAGAGAGAGAGAGAGAGAGAGATCTTCCATCCACTGCTTCACTCACCGAATGGCCTCAATGGCCAGAGTTGGCCAAAAAGAAGTCAGGAGCCAGGAGCTTCTTCTGGGTCTCCCATGAGGGTGCAGGGGCCCAAGAATTTGGGCCATCCTCTGCTACTTTCCCAGGCCATTAAACAGGGAGCCAGATAGGAAGCTGGGACTTGAACTGGCACCCATATGGATGGTGGCACTGCAGGTAATGATGGCTTTACCTGCTACACCACAGTGCCGGCACCTTTCTGAACTATTTGAAATACCCTCATATATACATATATGACACATGTGGACATGTACATCTATGTTTGTGTATGTATGCATATAATTTTTCTGTGGTTAGTAACAGTCATGTCTAACTTATCTAGCATATCTGGGGAAAGAGGTATCATGTAAAGGTTTATTTCTTTTATTTTAGCTATTTGGCACTTGCAAGTTTTCTAAGCTATCTGTGTATGTCCATACAGAATTAAACTGCATGTTTTGAGCATAAATGAACATTCTATTGATTATGAGATACCACCTCACCCCTGTCAGAATGGCTAAAATCCAAAACACAGAGAGTAACAAATGCTGGTGAGGATGTGGAGAAAGGGAAACACTTACACACTGTTGTTGGGAATGTAAATTAATGTGGTCACTGTGGAAAACAGTGTGGAGATTTCTTAAACAACTAGAGATAGACTTATCATATGATCCAGTGATCCCACTACTAGATATATACCCAAAAGACTTAAACACAATGTGTCAAGAACATACCTGTACCACCATGTTTATAGCAGCACTGTTCACAATGGCCAAATTTTGAAATCAATCAAGGTGTCCATCATCACATGAATGGATAAAGAAAATGTGGTATATGTACACAGTGGAATGTTATTCAGCTATAAAAAGAATGAAATTTTACCATTTGCAGTAAAATGGTTGCAATTGGAGGACATCATTTTGAGTGAAATAAGCTAGACCCAGAAAGACGAATACAGCATTTAGCTCCCTTATATGTGAGAGCTAAAATTTAAAGAGAGAGAGAGAGAGAGAGAGAAATGTCTGTATCAGTGTTGCTACAAATATAATTTTGTAAAACTTTGTTTGATACTTTTGTCAAGCCATTAATTAAGTATGTCATATTACTATAGTTTTAATGATCTGTGATTACTTTAAAATTTATTGTATAAAATGGGTGAAAGGGTCATTTTTCTGTTGAATTGTTTATAACCATTATTTATATTCTTACTAAATTAAGATCTTTTTACTTGCTAAACTAAGGTCTTTTTACTTGCTAAACTTCTTTTTGTGAAATATTTTTAAAAGATTTATTTATTTATTTGAAAGTCAGAGTTACACAGGGAGATGGAAAGGCAGAGAGAGAGAGAGAAAGAGAGAGAGAGACAGGTCTTCCATCCACTGGTTCACTCCCCAATTGGCCGCAACGGCCAGCGCTGAGCCAATCCAAAGCCAGGAGCCAGGAGCTTCTTCTGGGTCTCTCACGCAGGTACAGGGGCCCAAGGACCTGGGCCATCTTCTGCTGCTTTCCCAGGCCATAGCAGATCAGAAGTGGAGCAGCCAGGACTCAAACTGGCGGCCATATGGGATGCCAGCATTGCAGGCTTTACCTGTTATGCCACAGTGGCCCCTTGGTGAAGGATTAAGCCTTTTTACAGTAATGTAAATTTAAAATATATTATCACAAAAACTAATAAAAGACAGAAAGGGAAATGAAGGGGGAGGGAGGATTGGAATATAATGTTCTTTACAAATCATATTGAACCTGTTAAAAACTAATTAAAAATTTCTGGGGCCGGCACAGTGGCTCACTTGGTTAATCCTCCGCCTACAGTGCCGACATCCCATATGGGCTCTGGGTTCTAGTCCCAGTTGCTCCTCTTCCAGTCCAGCTCTCTGCTGTGGCCCGGGAAGGCAGTGGAGGATGGCCCAAGTGTTTGGGCCCTGCACCCGCATGGGAGACCAGGAGAAGCACCTGGCTCCTGGCTTCCACTCGGCGTAGTTCCAGCCATAGCAGCCATTTGTGGGGTAAACCAACGGAAGGAAGACCTTTCTCTCTGTCTCTCTCACTGTCTAACTCTATCTGTCAAATCAAAATAAAAAACTAATTAAAAATTTTTTAAAAGCGCAAAGTCAGGAAGTTGAAAAACTAGGATATAAATCAGGAAAACCCTTTAGATGGAGAAAAATTACACTATAGAATTTTGAACTTATTAAAATTTATTGAATAAGAAAAAAAACACTCTATTGATTATATTAATTATGCTCTTATCTTTAGTACACCTATTCCTTCAAGGGCTGTATATAAGACTGCTTGGAAGGGGGTGGATTGTCCACTTTTCTGTCATTTCTGATTGCTGTGCGTAGTGCAAAGTGTGACAGCACTTTGTCCCATCCATACACACCTGTAACTTGCTGTTTCCCGTGATGGCTTGTAGGGTGTGAGAAACACACCCTTCCCAGTCATGTTTTATGTGTAAAATTAAAGTATGCAGGTTCAAGGATGAGAGCCTCGGGAACTTTCCTGTAGAGTAAGGTGCTCAGATTTGACTGCAAGTGGTTTAGACTGGCCGGCGCTGCGGCTCAATAGGCTAATCCTCCACCTAGCAGCGCCGGCACACCGGGTTCTAGTCCCGGTCGGTGCGCCGGATTCTGTCCCGGTTCCCCTCTTCCAGGCCAGCTCTCTGCTGTGGCCCGGGAGTGCAGTGGAGGATGGCCCAAGTGCTTGGGCTCTGTACCCCATGGGAGACCAGGAGAAGCACCTGCCTCTTGCCTTCGGATCAGCGCAGCGCGCCGGCAGCAGCAGCCATTAGAGGGTGAACCAACAGCAAAGGAAGACCTTTCTCCCTTTCTCTCTCTCTCTGTCCACCCTGCCTGTAAAAAAAAAAAAAAAAAAAAAAAAAAAAAGAGGTTTAGACCAAGATTCTGCCTGCAGGAGTTGTTTGTTCTCTTTTTGCTGACTTCGGGTTTTCGGCTGCTTCAGAATATGGAATTTGCAGCAAGTTTAACTGCTGGGAAAAAAATGAGTCTTGAATGTATACCATTTGTATCCAATTATGAAAATAATGTTTCAAGCATTATATTTGCAGTAACCGTATTTCCAGAACACCCTTTCAGTAACCCATTTTAAATAGAATCTTTCTGTTTGCTTGCCCCAATGTAGGTAGCAACAGTAGTTCACAAAACAAGTACCTCTGAGGAAATCTGCAGCTTTCATTTGAAAATTGAAGCCCAGGACATTGAAGGTAAACAGCGTGATTCAATCTACATTGTAATTTTTGCTAAACATAAAGAACATCACATAGAGAGCTTACCTGATTAAGAGAAATGTGCTTGCTCAAAAAGATTTTTTTTCTTAGTTAAACTCTTACGCAGGCCACCATCCAAGTAAACATCACTGCAGTTTATCAAGTACATGTAACTCTTTAATAATAGTTCCCAACTATTATTAAATAATTAAGCTAAATGTATTCACTACTGATGAAGAAATAGTTTTGATTGTGTTACTTGTAAAGTGTAACTAGTTGTAATGACACAGAAAGGTCTAATTCCACAACCTTGAATTTCTGTTACTTTTTTGTCAGCGTTCCATTTAGAAGACTGAATTCCCTCATCACCTTGTTAACCTCCCACCCCTTAGCCTTTCTCTATTCCAAGAGATGCGGCAAATGCACATTTCTCTGCCTCCAGAACAAGTAGAGAGCTATTCTAATTATTGAAAGACTTCCTGGTATTATCAATAGCTATGAATTTTTATTAAAGTCAACAAAAGTACCACCTTGCGAACCATAAATAATTTTTAAGTGTGTTCACAGACTTGCTCATTAATAATTCTATTCTGACAAAACTGCTAAAAATAGTTTACCCTTTATTTGTGTGTTTGTTGTATGTGCTAGCATCCTACTACAGCGACTTGGGATACAAACGCATCATAGCATGTGCCAGGTAAGCCCATTTCCACAAGGGGAATGTAAACTTCAAGGGCTTACTTTTGCCATAGTGTTATTTCTTGGTATCTTTTTGAATATTAAGATGTCCAGAACATACAAAATTAATTATTTATTTTTTCGCATACAGAAGATAACAAGCATTCCTAAATAACTACTTAATTATAAAGAATGGCATTGGTTTTGCTCCCCTACTTTTCTCTTGCCTTTTTGTCTTCCTCTGATTCAAACAGCATAATAATAATTGTTCGGTCTTTTAGAAGGGTAGAGATGGGATATAAGTATTGGAGGGAAACACAGAAGTTTCTCTGATAAGCAGCTCCTGCTCTCCTACCTGGCCATCATCAGCCAGTGGTTCTCAACGTGGGCTGCACGTTGAAGTCAGCTGGAGAGTTTGTGGAAATGTCCGAAGCTGAGACCTCACTCCTAGAGATCACTCTGATGGAGCCACACGTTGAACCCTCTGCTCCCTGACTACAGACAACTAAATTAGTTTCCTGTTGCTGCTATGTAACAATTTACTGGAAACTTAATGGCTTAAAACAACACAACCTTACTTTTTAAAAAGTTTTATTGATTTATTTGAAAGGCAGAGTGACAGAGAGGGAGAAATAGAAAGGAGGCTCCTTCCGTCCACTGGTTCACTCCCGCAATGTGCACAGCAGCCAGGGTGGGGCCAGGTCAAAGCCTGGAAGTCCATCAGGGTCTCCCATGTGGGTGGCAGGGATCCAACTACTTGGGCCACCATCCTCTGCCTTCCCAGGCACATTAGCAGGAAGCTGGATGGGAGGCAGAGTAGCCAGAACTCGAACGGGCACTCTGATATGGGATGCAGGCATTCCAAGCAGTGGCCTAACCCACTGCTCCATAACGTGGACCCCAACGCATAAAGGAGTTTCCAGGGCCGTATTCGTTCTGGAGGCTCTAGTGAGAATCCACTTCCTGGCCTTGTTCCAGATCTTACCTGCTGCCTGTGTGCTAGCCCTTCCTCTGTCTTCACTGCCAACCTCACAGGATCTTCCGGCCTCTGACTCTGCCTTCTTCCATCATCACACCTCCTTCTCCACTCCCCTACTCTCTCCCTTATAACAATTCTTGTAATTCATTTGGGCCCAACCAGATAATCCAGAATGATCTCCCTCTCTCAAATCCGTAAGCACATCTATAAAGTCCCTTTTGCCAGATACACATACCGTAGTGTATTTGCAAGTTCGGGGGATTAGGACACAGACATCTTTGAGGGTTATTATTCTGCTTACCACAGCCGTGATCCTAAAATGTTTATGTAAATGTAGGCTTTTAAAAAAATGTGTGTCCTTTGGTCTGTGCTGACTGTGCAGAATGAATCGGTTAGTAACGAGGCCAGCACTAGAACTTGGGCTTGTGCCCTCCTCTTTCCAGCACCCCTCAGTACTTCTTGTTCTGTCCTTTTTCCTTCACTCCTTATGTTGTCAGTAAGGAGACATCTATGGATGGCATAGTTCTGGTTTCGGTCATAATCACATGTGATACCAAAGCACTCGGGATGAATAATCTGGAAGTTCAGTAGTGCTGTGTCATGGGTTAGAGTTGAGTATGACTTTGGAGATGCTACAGTAATCCCATTATTTTAGAATAAAGAAACTGAGACCCAAAGAGGTAAAGGAACCTGCCAATTCTCAAAGAATATGAGACAGAGCTAGGGACTGAAGTCTCTGACTCCTGACGCCCACTCCAGCATCTAAACCGCCTCTTTCAGTCCAATAATCTAAGACCACTGATACGGGGGAGCAACAAATGGTCTCTCAGTGCCTCCCTCCCAGCTGTTTCCCTGTGTTGTTCGTGGTCCTGGGTCTGATCTTAGGAGTCTCCCTTCCCAGCCCGATTTCCATCTTTGGCAGCCTTCCTTGCTTTCAACACTCCTTGCTCCTTTCCTTGGCCACTCCCTGACCTCCTCTCTCTCTCTCTCTCTCTCTCTCTCTCACTCAAACATGCTTCTACATTCCCTAAAGTTTTCCCATTAAGACCACTCCTTCCCAGGCAGCTTCCTCCTAACTGCCATTACCGACCCTGGAATACCTATCTGCCGGGGAGGGGGACACAAGCAAAGTCATCGCTTAATCCAGAGAGGTTGCCAGAGGGAGGCAGGAGCTACCTTCTGGGCAGAACCAGAACCCATGCATGGGACCCCAGAGGGAGGTCTCTAGAGTCTAGGATAGTGGAGCGGAGCACCTGTGGGGCAGCCTCTGCCAGCAAGCACTCAGTGGCCCTGCACAGATGAGCTTGCTTCCCCAGACCTCTCTGTAAAGCAAGGCTATCGGCCCGCTTAGCTCAGCGTCCCTGCCAGTTCTAATGGTCCCCAGTGCTGCCGTACATAAAATGGCTCTCATCAAAAACTCACTCGTTTGACTTCATTAGCAGGGAGCCTAATTCAGATTGTCAGCATCCAAAAGAAAGCAAGTAAAAATGCGATAGTGAATGTTCTATCCTTTGATTTTACAAATTGAGGACAGAATGTTCAGGAAAGGCGGATTGAATATGCTTTTGGCTCTTTTTAGGTTGGGAGGATTCCAAAAGTAACTGTGTAGTCCCTTATTCATGTAAGAAGTTCTTTGCCTTCAAATATGTTCTCTCCTGATTAAAAAATACCAGCACAGTTTCTGTGTTCAGAGGGTCTCTTTCGTGTACTTAGCTTTTTATAACCTCTCCGTTGTATTCCTAAGGAAAGAAAAGATTTCATTTCTCTTGCAACAAAAGGCCTTTGGGGAAGATTGCTGGTTTTGGCAGCAGGCAAAAGGCTTCTTGAAAGGAGGATTTCTGTTCCACAGTTGAAACAGTCTCCATGGCAACCAGTCATCAAGGCTCCGACAGCCTTTTCAGGGACACCCTGCACTGGGAGGCCCTTTTCCATCCTGTTGACAGTGTTTTTGCCTCTCTCTGTGAGTGAGTTCCCTGCTCTATCCACCCAACCCAGGAGAGTTCAGATGTCACAGTGCAGTGCCGAGCCACCTCCTGATCTAAATGATTGAGCTGGTGAAGAACGCATCTAAGATTTTACCATATTTTAGTTACTGCGGTAAATATTACATCTGAAACTTCTAGCAGGGACTGCTTTCTATACGCTGTGTAAGGTGTGATGGAGGAAAAGCCCTGACATCCCACAAACTCACACACGTCTCCTTTTTCACAAACACTCCTCCCACTGAGTGAGATCCGCTCATTTCCATCTCGATAAGCTGTTTCACCTCTTCTTCCTTTCAGCCTGACTGCTCTTCCAAGCGCTGCTCTCACATATTCAGCTGCTTCTTCAAGCAACTTGAACTGAGGCTGGAACCCGAAACTCAGCTTGAACAGAACTATGCTTCCTCCGCTCCCTGCCCACCCCCGCCAAACTAACCCTCCTTTATGTCCTCCAACTCTGCTGAGTGGTTGCACCAAGCCTCTGACACCCAAGACCGAAACCTTGACATTATAAAAACAAACCTAAAACACACGTGTATACTTCTTTAGAGTTAATTTTATAAAAAAGAAAACGAGCTTTGAGAGGGGACCTGATTCATGGAAATCTGTCAGCAGAACTGGGATAAAATCCAAGTTTTTTGATTTCCCCTTTCAGTGTTCTTTTCTCTCTTCCAAGAAAATCTCCCATTTTATCCCCTCTGCCTTTCTCCTTAACTTCCTAGACAGGAGATAGTCCTTGAAAGATTCTTTTTTACATAAAGTACTGTGGAAGTTTAGAAAATGGAGGAAAGTATAAAAAAGAAAGAAAAGACAGAATCAAGCATAATCCCACTAAATACGTTAAGTGTATTTTCTTTCAGTCTTTGCCCAGATGTGTTTATTGAGTCTCTTTACAGTTAACAACTAATTTTCTCCTTTGAATGTGCTCCATTAAAAAAAGAATTAATGCAAGAAGTGAGAGACATAGAAGACATTGATTCTTTTTTTTTTTTTTTAAAGATACACAGAGAGAGAAGGAGAGGCAGAGAGAGAGAGAGAGAGAGAGAGAGAGAGGTCTTCCATCATTGGTTCACCCCCCAATTGGCTGTAATGGCCAGAGCTGTGCTGATTCAAAGCCAGGAACCAGGAGACTCCTCCAGGTCTCCCATGAAGGTACAGGGGCCCAAGGACCTGGGCCATCCTCCACTGCCTTCCCAGGGCACAGCAGAGAGCTGGATCGGAAGTGGAGCAGCCAGGACCCGAACCGGCAGCCACATGGGATGTTGGCACTGCAGGCGGTGGCTTTACCTGCACTGGCCCTGATGGTGATTCTTATGCATAAGAATGACCTAGACCTCCTTTGTTCTTCATTCCTGACTTTGGACATGGGCTCTGCTCTCATCCTCAGTTTCCCCAGCTGGTTCACTTGAGGTGGATGACTTGTGCTCTCCAGTAGAGTGGCCCTTTGGTGTTATTGGTCAAGTAAGGAAAGAGAAGAGATGACTGAAGGAGCTCTTGTAACTCTCAGAATCAGGGATTCTAGCCCCTGTATTATAGACATATACAAATCAAATACATGGAGACCCAAATTTAAAAATTAAAGCCTGCTGTGATCGGCACTTTGGCGTAGTGGATAAAGCCAATGCTCTGGTCCAAGTCCTCACTGCTCCACTTCCAATCCAGCTCCCTGCTAATGCACCTGGGCAAGCAGTGGAAGATGACCCAAGTACTTGGGCCCCTGCACCCACATGGGAGACCTGGAAGAAGCTCCTGGCTCCTGGCTTTGGACTGGCCCAGCCCTAGTCATTTGGGGAGTTAACCAGCAAATGGAGGATCTCTCTCTCTCTCTCTCTCTCTCTCTCTCCTCCCCCCCTCTGAAATTCTGCCTTGCAAATAAATTAATTAATTTAAAAAAAATTAAAGCCAGCTAAGGAGTAGGGAAAGAGCCTTTTCATAAAGAATCTTATCTACAAAGGGTCTTCAATAAGTTTATGGAAATGTGCTTTATAAAAAAACTATGTGTGAATGTCAGTCTTTTTTGCACCAAAAGTAAACATATCTTTCAAACGCATTTTCCATCACTTCTTGGCCTTTTGGCTAAGATCAAGTGTAGTATCAAATGCATTTTCCATAAGCTTTTTGAAGTACCCTTGTATCTATCTATTCCCTTTCCTAATCTCTTGCTTGTTTTAGCTACAAGGCCAGCGGGGAAGAGTCATCATCTGGATCCTCCCATGCAGTGATGGATATCTCTTTGCCCACTGGAATCAGTGCCAACCAAGATGACTTAAGAGCTGTAAGTGTTTCCTTTTTAATATTGCTGTGAGTGTTTGGCTTTCTTTTCTGTTTTATAGACAGACTTGTTTCTTTTCATTTTAATATGTTATTTTCATAAAATCACTGAGAATATATGTTCCAAAACAGCCAACTACCTAAGTTTTGATTTATCGAAATGAAGTGGAGCATACACATGCATGTTCTGAAATGAAATGTGCATGTTAATGTTTCAAGGACAGGACTTGCTCTTCAACTTCTTTAGATAATGGATTGCATCCCTGTGATTTAACATCCCATCAACAGGTGAATGCATTTAAGCAAAAAAATGATGAAACTAAAATAGAGTTTTTTCTTTCCTCCCTCAGCTTGTGGAAGGGGTGGATCAACTATTAACTGACTACCAAATCAAAGATGGACATGTTATCCTGCAAGTGAATTCAGTAAGCTGCCCATCGTGACATTCCCCCTTGCTATCATGATACGAAATCTGTAAGCTAAAATTTCCTGGGTATCTTCTCCCCTGTAACTTCCTCAAATTCTTGAATTTGTGAAACAGATTCCCTCCACTGATTTTCTTTGTGTCCGATTCCGGATATTTGAACTGTTCCAAGTTGGGTTCCTGAGTCCTGCTACTTTCACAGTGTATGAATATCACAGACCAGGTAACCAACTCCACTTGGAAAATTGCTTTGGAAGACTCCTCTGTATTCTTTTTTTAATAGAAAACTTTTATTTATTAAATATAAATTTCAAAAGTATAACTTTTGGATTATAGCAGTTCTTCCCCCCTTTACCACCCTCCCACCTGCAACCATCCCATCTCCTACTCCCTCTCCCATCCCATTCTTCATTAAGATTCATTTTTAATTATCTTTATATTCCTCTGTATTCTTTACAGAAGCTTTAGCTCCACTAGAGGCCTGGAAATTTCATTTATTTTCTCTCTTAGAGCTCACTCTTCTTAAAAGTCTCAACCAGAGCATTCAAAGAACTTCAAACTACTGCACAGACACTACTGCACACAAACTACTGCGGACACTGAGCAAACCATTTCACCTCTGTCTGCAGTTTCTTCATTTTCAAAACAACTGGATCATATTGCCTCCAGCTTTAAAATTCTTTGTCTCAAGAATTCTGTGGTGTACATTTTCAGTACTCGCTGCATCTCTTCTTTTTAGGAAGGAAGCTCACATAACCTATTTATTCCTCCCAGCATAGGTTCTACCCCATTTACATTCTCATTACATTTTGAAGATACCTCTGTTAGAGCAGATGTCACATTGCCTTATAATTATTGGTTTGCATGTTGTTCTCACCAAGCCCAGATAGAATGTTTTCATCCTTGTGACCATAGTAGCTAATAGTGTCAGATAGAGATATAGATATAGATAGAGATATAATGTGTTTATTGAATAAATGATCCCACATTTGATTATTCAACCACTTCCAGGAATGTTGAGTAATTGGAGAATTTATTGATTTACAAGTTAGATGACTCTATCTTGGGAAGTTCTACTTGTTAGAAAATTCTTAAAATGAACCAAACTCTGACATGCAGTCATTCTGCTTTTATTTCTGAAATCATAGAGAATATATGCTTAGCCCCTTTGTCCAACCTAAACAATTATAATTCTTTCAACAGATCCTCATGTAACCTAACTTATTTTCCTCTGATTCATGGGAATATCAAATATTTTCAATCTAGGAAATGAATATTGAAGAGGAAAACTTCACACTTGATCTTATCTAAAAGGCTGAGAGGTGATGAACAGGAAAACTTCAAGCACAGAACTAAGCTAACTTGGGGAGATCTTTTTGAGCATAAAGAGGCCACTGTATAGGCAATTCATAATTTAAACTCCATGGTCCTTAGCCATAAAAAGAAATGTTTGGAATAAGCTATTTCTGTGACCCCGTGTAGCAGAACAATCAGTAAATGTGTTATGGATCTACCAAGCCACTTCTCCTAACCGTGCTTTTACTGCCACAGATAAACAATGCACCATGTTTTATAGTACTTCCAACACCAAACTGCAGAGAGTCTGTGAAGGAACGCTGTGCAAGTGTGTGGAAGGTAAAGTCCATTTAGCACATCTACTCTGCATGCTTGGGGCCCTCATTTGATGCAGCAGCCATGTTGCCCTTTGGGACATGGATATTGGGACAATGCCCAATGTCAGAGTCCCTGGGTTCATGTCTCAGCTTCACTTCTGATCCAGCTTTCTGCTGGTGTGCAGTGGGTAAAGACTCAAGTGGTTGGGTCCCTGTCACCCACATAGGAGATCTGGATTGAGTTCCAAGCTCCTGGCTTTACCTGGCTAGCCCTGGCCAGGCTGTTATGGCCGTTGGAGATGTAAACCACTCAATGCAAGATTGATATTTCTCTCTCTCTCTCTCTCTCTCTCTCTCTCTCTCTGCCTTTCAAGTTAAATAAATAATTTTATTTAAAAAAATTTAAACCTCATGCTTATTTAAAGCAGCCACTTATAACCCAAGACTGATCTGAGAAAGCTGTTCAAAAGTAGAAATGTAGGGGCCAGCATTGCGGTGCAGCGGGTTAGGCCACCACGTGCGACACCAGCATCCCATATCAGCGTGCCAGTATCAGTCCTAGTTGTTGCGCTTCCAATCCAGCTCTCTGTTAATGTGCCTGGGAAGGCAGCAGAAGATGGCCCAAGTGCTTGGGCCTCTGCCACCCATGTGGGAGACCTCTCTCCCTCTCTCTATAACCCTGCCTTTCAAATAAATAACCATTTTTTGAAAGTAGAAATGTAATCTCAGCTGACTGAGAGTTAATAACTCCTTGAGTTTTGTAAAGCTGCTTGTCCACCCCTCCTGAACAATCTGATGGTTGATATCGTACAGGAACAGAGAAGCACCATCTAGATGGTTGTTGGATATCACAGGGATAACATTGTATGAAGTTTTTTTTAACCTGGTCTTTCTAACATAATAGGAACCCAAACCAAGAGACTAGGGGCCCAGGACCAAACCACTATTGCTTCTTTCTTTCTCTTTGTCCTTCTTAATTTTTGTAATTCTCTGGTTATTGTCCAGTTCCTTTCAGTCTTCTATTAGTTGAAGACAAACTTTTTGGCAAAGGAGTAAATCCAGAACTCACCATAATGAAAAAACTGGTTCCTTGAAGGCCAGGGTTTTTAGGTTTTATTTTTTCAAAATTCTGAACATCTACACATTTCCTAGGTACTTATACAATGCAGTAGCCACGAATCAGTCATTATCATTTAGGATCCTTCAACAGACTTTTTTTTAAAGATTTATTTATTTATTTAGAAAGAGTTAGAGAGAGAGAGAGAGGAAGAGACAGAGAGACAGAGCTCTTCCATGTGCTGGTTCACTTCCCAGATGGCCACAACAGCCAGCACTGGGCCAGGCTGAAGCCGGGAACAGGGAGCTTCTTCTGGGTCTCCCACTTGGCTGGCAGGGGCCCAAACACTTGGGCCATCTTCTCCTTTTTTCCAGGCCACTGGCAAGGAGCTAGATTGGAAGTAGAGCAGCAGGAACACGAACCAGTGTCCATATGGGATGCCAATATCGTAGGCAACAGCTTTTCCCACTGCATCACAACACTGGCCCCTCAGTGGACTTTTGATGATATTCATAATGGAAAAAAATTTCCCCCTTCCCATAAGGGAAACATACATTTTCCTAAAGTGCTGAATGTGGATAACAACCCATTCTAAGTCCTGTGTTCAATATCTCTTGGGGGGTTGTTCCTTTTGCTTTTGCTTTGTGTAATGTTTTACTTTGTGAAAGAGGAGAAAATGGACAGGTCTTAGGAAATTGACATTTCTTATGTTGGATTGTCTCAGGGCTCATGGGAAACAGCATTTACTCCCAAAGAGAACATCTGCTTTCTTTATATTAATCTCACTTTTACCATTTTCCACAAACCCAGCTGACTGTGGGCAAATGGAGAAAGAATTGGATCTGACCATCTCTGCAGAAACTAGAAAAGAAAAAGCTTGTAAACCTGAGATTGTATATGGTAAGTTCAAAAGTTTAATAGATTCCTTGAAATGTGAAATCTTATGAATGCATGATCCGTTACAAAGACAAAAGCTTTACACAGAGATTACATGGATGCAACATTCCACCAGCTCACCTTGAGGGAAAATGCCATCAACTTTCAGCATTAGCATGCAAAGTTACTTATTCTTCAGCCAAGAAATATGATTTTATTAAACTTAATAGGAGGGACATGCATGCCTGTCAGGACATGGTATTGGAATAGATCCTTCTGAATCACAGACGTGGAGCCATATTTACAGGGAACTTTGGAGTAGCCACAGAGGTGTAAGGTTTCGGTTCTGTATTCATCCAGATGCTGGAGCAGAGACAGAGGCAATGGTGGTTTGGGGTTTGGGGTTTTAAAAAATCTATTCAAGCAATACTCCGTAATTTTTACTCTACGCAGAATTGCAGCCTCTGTGTAAGACTCTCTCCATTTCAAAAGCAAGGTCTCCTGATTTTCCAGAGCTCAGAACTAAATCAATACTCAAGTCCCAGATAGAATTAGCTCCTTCGTCTTCTTCCCATGGTTTTTGATATTTATTTCTGGATTTTTTTTTTAAAGAGATCGTATTGTACCCTTTGTCGAATCTTTTTTGTTTTGAACATTGTAAAGATGTTATTTATAAATAAAAATTAATTACAGCTGATTTCACACTTTATGTTACCAGCTGTTTTCATACCCTGTTTCTTATTAGAGTCCTGTAAGAACCTGTTAGCAAACAGGATTATCACTGTTTTACCAGTCAAGAGATCAAGGCTCAAGGGCATGCCAGAAGCAAGCAATAGAACTAGGGTGCACCCTGCTCTCCAGTGTCATTTCCTTCACAGTCTGCTCAATTCTCTTAATGGAAATACAGCCACCAGAGTGAAGTTTGTATGCTGTGTGGCATTTCTTTTCTTTGAATTCATCTTGACTTCAAAGAAACTGCCTGAATCAGACAAGATTTTAAAAATATGTCAGGCAGGTGTCTGATGTAGCAGTGAGACACACATGTCCCATATCAGAGTACCTGGGTTCAAGTCCTGGCTCTGCTTGCAGTTCAGTTTCCCACTAATATGTACCCTGGAAGGCAATAGATGCTGGCTCAAGTGTTTGGGTACTTGCCCCTGACATGGGATATCTGGATTGAGTTCCAGCCTTTAGTCTGGAAGTTTGAGGCTTCAGCCTGGCCCAGCCCCAGCTGTTGCAGGCATTTGGTGAGTGAAAACAGTACACAGAAGATTTTCTCTCTCTCTCTCTCTCTCTCTCTCTCTCTCCCTCCCTCCGTCCCTCACTCTCCCAACCCTTTCAAATAAATAAAATATAAAACACACCAGGACTTGAAGAGCATGCTATATTCCCATTGCTTTAAAACAACATTTTCATTAAATTATTTCTTCCTTTCACTGTCTTAACACTGAACTATCAGAAACCTAGTTTAACAGAATAAATGAATCTGGAGTTATTGGGCTATTTTCAATAAAAGACTTGTCTGGCTTTTCCTGGAGGCTACAATCTATTACAGGAGGAGTAGAGTGGGGGAAAAATGTTTCCTTTTTCTACCCATGCCAACACAGTAACTACATTACCCCTGTCACCATGAAGACTTATGAATCTGATGTTTGGGACTAATTTACATAGCCTTTGGTTCTACACAGTCTGTTCTGTCACCTCTCCATTTCCGGAATTAGACTCAGACCAGAGGATCTCGAAAATGGACAAACCTTTTAGGTCATTCGTTTCAACACCATCACAAGCAAAAATAAAAGGGATCTTTTCTGAGGCCACATGGAAGGGATGGACCCCTTCACACTGTTCATTGCAGAGTTCAGGTCAAACACACCATGCATCAAGCATTCTTGCTTGAATGAGGAAAAAACGGGCTGCGGGTGGCTCATGTCGGACACAGTTGAATGAGAAAACAGGATACTATTTAAAACCAAAGATCAAAGCCAGTGGAGCTGTATGGAGAAGCAAGGCTCACGAGGTAGGCCTGAATGATAGATGATGAGGGTCCCCTCTGTGGCCCTGTGGGGAAGTCAGCGGTTCTTCAAAGGGCACCACGGGCGTGACTCAATCACTCTTAAGGAATCAGCATCTGAACTTTATAGCTGACAGGGTTTTATCCTGTTTACTTATTTATGTGCTTTTGTTATTTAAGTTACAACGGCCCTTATCCTAGTCAGCCTGTTCTGCAGGAGTAGCCAGAGCTAATGGTTGATCCTAGAAGAGTGAGTGAGTGCAGAGACGGAAGCCCAATGGGAAGGCGTCCTGAAAGACAGATCTACCTCAGGGTGCCCAAAAGCTCGCCATGCTTCCGTTCTCATTTGTCTGACAAATTCTGGCTCCTACTGGATACGGCCTTGTGGCATCAACCCTGCATTATTTCATTTCCACTTTTTCATTTGTTTGTTTGCCAGCTTATAAAGTTAGCATCACATCCATCACTGAAGAAAATGTTTTCGTCAAGTACACAGCAACCCTTCTGGATGTCTACAAAACCGGTGAGAAACCATTCATTCACTCTTCCATCCAGCAAACAGGGAGTACCTACTGCACGCCAGGTGTTATGTAAGACACAGAGGCTGCAACTTGAATAAGATAGGTAGTTTTTATTATTCCAAATGTTGCACTCTAAGAAACCGATTTGTGATGTCATTTCATTTTTGTGTCCTCGGATGGTCACACCTTTCCTTTATTTGAACCTTGATTGCCTTTATGATGAGAGCGGTGTGTGACTAGCACTTGGGTCTTTTCCCAGTCCAGCTTCTGAGCACCGATGATATCACATGCAGTAGCAAGCCGTTCCTTTTTAACTGAAACAATAAATCACTTTTCATTCCAGAAAGAACAAGCATTTATTTTATTATTTTATTTATTTTTCTTGCATAGTATCAAAGGACATTCCAGACCGCTAGGAATCCTGCATAGCCCCAGGAGATTCCCAAGTCGCAGAATTTTATTACTATCATTTCTGCTGTAGATTCAGAAGATTATTTTTATATTTAAAATCAAAAGTTAAGAATTTTTGCATATTTATCACCTCTGAATGTTCATTTTTAATACTTCAAATTTTGAATTTATATAAATATCAAAATACTGTAACTTGCTACCTATACAAAAATGGTTGTACACTAATAAGAAACCATTTTTGAATCAAGAACAAACTATGTAGTTTGAGGATAAAAATAAATTGCTAATTCTCCCAAAGCACTGGGTGCTTAGAGTAGATGAGGATCTAAGTGAAAACAAGATTAGTGGTTATTAAAGCTGGGGCTAATTACTTTCTCTTCTGAATATATTTGAAATTTTCCATTACTAAAAAGTTTTCAAAAACAGTAAGGCCCACACAACCACACTTCTTCTTCTGTCAGGGGTTGAATTGGCAGGTGGTGCGGGAATGTTGGTCACACACTGCTGCAACAGGTAGCTGTGGTCACTGGGACAGCCTAAGAAATGAGCTCAAACTAATATAATGTGCGTACTCCGGAGTTCTTATTACTAATGAAAATTACCATTTATACAGTTACTGTTACATACGCGTTACCAACAAGTTCAAACAGCTGCATAGCTAGGAGTCAGACACAGTCTCTGGCTCAGGAGACAGACCTGTGGGGTGAAACATTGTAATAGAAACTCAGGTGTAAAAGAAAGGGAGGACACAAAGATACTTAGGACAAAGAGCAGCAAGAAACATTTACCAGAGGAGAAGAGGCAGGACTGGGGCCAGCAGCCCAAGGTAGCCAGTAAAGCTGCTGCCAGCATCCCACATGGGCACCTGTTCCTGGCCCAGCTTTCTGCTAATGGTCTGGGAAAAGCAGCAGAAGGTGGTCCAAGTGCTTGGGTCCCTGCTACCCATGTGGGAAAACTGGAAGAAGCTCTGGGCTCCTGGCTCCGGCCTGGCTCAGGCCTAGCTCAGCTCTGGTGATTGTAGCCATCTGGGGAGTGAACCAGTGGACAGAGGATCAAAGTGAAAACAAGATTAGCAGTTATTAAAGCTAATATATATATATATATATATATATCCTCTCTCTCCTTCTGGATCTCCCATGGGTGCAGGGGCCCAAGGACTTGGGCCATCTTCTGCTTTCCCAGGCCACAGTAGAGAGCTGGATTAGAAGTGGAGTAGCCGGGTCTCAAACCAGTGCCCATATGGGATGCCTGTGCTTCAGGCCACAGCATTAACCTGCTGTGCCACAGCACCGGCCTCAATATCCTCTCTCTCTGTAACTCTTTCAAATAAATAAATCGTTAAAAAAACTTTAAGGGACCGGCAGTTTTAGTCTTCTTAAAACTTTCCTGTCTTGTACTTTTCTACAAAGCTGACCATTGTCAGCTACCAGATACTTCAATATTTTGCTATATAGCATAGGGAGAGCAATATTGTCCTATCATAGATAAGTTCCTTTAATTCTAGGCCTGCAAGACTTATAACAAGCATTTGTATGATTCTTACTATGTTCCAATCACTTCATATACTAACCCATTTGATCTCACACCAGTTGTACAGGTACATTTTTATTATATTCATTTTTCAAACAAATATTGATGACTTACCTTTTTCAGATGAGGGGGATGAGCCCTTAAACAGAGAGCATCAATCATTTGCCCAGAGCTTCACAGCTGGGGTTTAACCCAGAGAGTCTGTCTTAACTATATGTAGAGATAGTTATAACTATATATAGTTACAACGTATCATACAGAATATAGAATGCAAAGTCCTCACTATGTAGATATTTCTGTTCTCTCGGTCACCATGAGGAAGCAGACGACATGAGAGGATTACAATGGTGACATCAGGACTAGCATGTGCTAACCGTCCTTGCCTGTCTCAGGGGAAGCCATTGCTGAGAAAGGCTCTGAAATCACCTTCATCAAGAAGACAACCTGTGCTAATGCTGACCTGCTGAAAGGAAGACAGTATTTAATTATGGGGAAGGAAGCCCTTCAGATAAAACACAATTTCAGTTTCAAGTAAGTCACCAGTATTCTGGAGTCTCTGATCTTTCCTCCAGAACTGAGTGTAATTTGTTCTTAAATCCTCTGTATGTTTCTTACGTACCTTGCTGTTAACCAACAAGCCATTAGAAACCAATTAAATCTATGAGTTGAAAACAAGAGCTATAGAAAGCCATCACAGCAGCCGAGGACTTAGCTGAACTGATAAACCAACTTAGGTGAGCAAGTGCACCTGGTGATGAATCGGGCCTGCTTACCCCACCCACCCCTCACCCACCAAGCTGGATCCGTCAGCATGTGCCCAGAGGGCTGCATCTGTTAAGAGGAAAGTGTTTAAATATGCACTTTCTTATCTTGTCTATTTCCAAAAAAATAGACATTACCATCAGTGTCGTTCCTGCCTTCCCCCTGGGAGCCCCAGGAAGCTTCATGATCTTCAGGGGCTTAAGAACCTTCCCAAGGCGGGGCTGATGCAGAGGGGTTTGTGAAGCCTTGCCCCTGTGGACCTGCCACAGCTCGGCTCCTGCCAAGGGGGTCACATCCAGCCTTTCTCTCTGCACGACCAGCATCACAAATGCTTTGCTCTCATCTCTTCTTGGCAGGTACATCTACCTGTTAGATTCCTGGACCTGGATTGAATATTGGCCTTCAGACACAACGTGTCCATCGTGTCAAGCGTTTTCGGCTAATTTGGATGAGTTTGCTGAAGACATCTTTTTAAATGGCTGTGAAAATGCCTGAAGAAGTTCAGCTGCATTCACATCTCACTTAGAGACTCCTGGTGCGGAAGCTCCGTATTTTAAACATTCACAGCTGGCCTTATTTGGAAAGCTTGCTTTACTTAGAATTAATGGCACTAGCTTTTATTAGAGAGTGACTTTAAAGGCTGTAACTTTCTAAATAACATGGCCAAGGGGATGGTGGGGCATGAAGACAGATACTCCAAGGTTATTAGACACCAGAAGCAATAAATTGGAACACCTCCTAAAACCTACCACTCAAGAATGTTTGCTGGGGCCAAAATAATAGTCTTATTGAAATGGAGTATCTTACAAAAACATGGCCTGTGCTTGAAAGAAAATACCAGGGAACAGAAAACTGATCATTAAAGCTTGACTTTGCTTTCAAAATGTGCTAAAAAGCATGTTATTTTATGCTAGGTCATTGTCAGCCACACAAAGACAGGCAGATTGAGAAAGGCAGTGGAGAGAACCTTCGTCCTAGGAAAGACCAACCTCGGGGCCCTTAGCAAACGGAGAGTGTGAGAGAGCTTGTCTTCCCCCCTCTTCTCCTGCCCCCTCCATACCCAGGCGGGAGATCCTCTGTGCTTGCCCTCCCTCCCGACACACACTCCTTTCTCCCAGAAGCTAGCCAGTAATTGCTCTACCAGAAGACAGGCCTCAGAGCAGCAGCCTTGGTGAACTATGCCAAGGCAACAGACTCTGAGCATAATGGTTACAGCGACTGAAGCCATGCCCGTTGGAAGAACCTGCATTTCACCATGAGGTGAAACGCTGCAAGACCTCATCGTGTGCTGCATCAATACTAAGATTTTCCACCTCCAGAAACTTAGGACTTTGTTTTTAAGGTCAGAGCTCACACTGTGGGCACTCCTTTGGCAAAAACAACCACTGTGTCCAACATGCCCAAACTCTCTGTCAGTGAGGGCTGAAGGGGCTCCCTCCAGCACAGCCCTGGCAGAGTCTGCTGTCACCTTCTTGCCGAATGCAGAGTGGTGGGAGCTGCCTCAGACGTGAGGGTCTGAGCATGCTGGCTGCCTTCTCCATGAGCGTGAAGGTGAACAGGTTGGTGCACAGCAGCCTCACTAGCCCACAGTGCAGCTCAACTGTCCAGCTGAGGCAGGCAGCTTTGCTTCCTGTGTCTCAGTGAAGGCCTCTGAACCAGTAAGTCTTCTCCGGTCTTTCCTCCCAGCCCCTGCGATGCTGATTTACTCAGCAACATCAACAAATATGTATTGGTCAGTAAATGTAGGCCCAGACCCAAGTCTAGCGGCTTGCACCAAGATTCCTGTCCTTGTAGAGCTCAGATTCCAATTGGGGAAGATATGCCATGACGAAGACGATAACTAAGGAATTGACCTTGCATATTAGAAGGTGGTAGTTATAGGAAAAAGTGAGGCAGAATAAGGGAGACCGGGAATGGCCAGGGAGGGGCTGTGGTTTCAAATAGAATGGTCAGGTCAGGGGAGATTTCCTTGGAAAGGTGAGATTTGAGCAACAGTGTGATGGGTGTAGGGAGTGAGCCACATAGCTAGCTAGGGGAAGAGTGTTCCATGCACTTCAGGATACCTGGTGCCCAAGCACAGAGCAGGAGAATACTGGTATGCTAAAGGAGAAGCGAGGCGGCTGAGGTAACAGGTGCAGGTCATGAAGACCAGTGGAAATGGCTTTGGTTTTACTTGGAAGCGAACGGGAGCCTTTGCAAGGTCTTGAACAGAGTAGTAGCATGGTCTATCTATATATTTTTTTAACATTTTAGCATCATTTTTAAAAGGATTTATTTATTTAAAAGAGTTACAGAGAGAGGTAAAGACAGAGAAGAGGTCTTCCATCCGTTGATTCACTCCCCAAATGGCTGCAACGGCCGAAGCTGCACCAATCTGAAGCCAGGATCCAGGAGCTTCTTCTGGAACTCCCACGTGGGTACAGGGACCCAAGGACTTGGGCCATCACCCACTGCCATAGCAGAGAGCTGGATCAGAAGAGGAGCAAATGGTACAGGAACCAGTGCCTATATGGGATGCCAGCATTGCAGTCAGCAGTTTTACCCACTACACCACAGGGCTGACCCCAATCCTACTTTCTTAAAGAATTATCTATGCTGAAAATACATAAACATAGAAGGAAAGAGACCAGTCAGGAAGCTACTGCAACAAACCAGGCAAAGGCTGGTGGTACCACAGCTCAGTGTGGTGAAACTAGCAATGTTGAAAAGTGATTGGATTCTGGATATAGTTTAAAAGTAGATCCAGCTGGGTTCCCTGAGAGGTTGGAAGTAAGTGTGAGTGAAAATGAGTAAATGAGTAGTTAAGGATGATCCCAAGGTTTTTGGCCTGAGCAACTGGAAGAATGATGTCAGAGAGGCTGCAAATGGAGATGGAATGGGTTGTGGGGAGGTAGGAGTCAGGAATTCAGTTTGGGGTGTGTTGAGTTCTTGAGGAGAGAAGTCAAGGAGACACCGATCACAGTTCTGGAGTTCAGAAGAGAGGGCTGAGCTGAAAATGTGATTCTAAGAGCCATCAGCATTTAAAGCCATTAGGATAATTCTAAGAGCCATATTAAAGCCTTTAGACAGGATAGGATCACTGAAGATGTGTATATAGAAAGAGGAGGGACAAGCAAGACCAAGGAAGACTTCTGGAATGTTTCAATACCAAGCTGTTGGGGAAAACAGATGGAGAACCCATTGTGTTAGGAGGAAAAATGAGACAGTGAGTGTCCTGGAAGTCAAGAGAAAGGAGAGAGTTTCTAGAAGGAAGTGTTGCTCTGGCCTCAGAATCAGCCCTAAAGGCACTCGGATCTGGCTGAAAAGCCCATGAGAGTATTTCAGGCATGGAAAGCCAAGACACTCTGGCAAAAAGATCTCTGTGAGTGAGATCCCAGTGGAAAGAACAGGTCTTCAAAGAGGGAGGTGCCTTTCTCTGAAGGGAGGAGAGAACCTCCACTTTGACTATGACCGTGTCTAAACAAGATAAGAGTCGGAGAACTCAAGGGGCTTCCATAGCCTTGGAAACTCATGACTGGTGCATAGGGAGATTACTGATGCCATAAACAGGAGTGTCAATTTGTAAAGTCAACAACAGGAGTCACTGTGCACTTACTCCTCATGTAGGATCTCTGTCCTTAATGTGCTGTACACTGAGGCTTAATGCTATAACGAGTACTCAAACAGTATATTTCACTTTGTGTTTCTATGGGGGTGCAAACGATTGAAATCTTTACTTAATGTACACTAAACTGATCTTCTGTAAAAAAAAAAAAAAAGAAATAGAAGGAAGTGTTGGACTGTGTCAAACGTTGCTGAATGGAGAGGAAACGAAAACCTTGCTGTGGGGTGACTGACAAATGCCGTTTGTCTGAAGCCGTGGGGACTCCTGATGGGAGTGGGCTCAAGGGTGAGTGGGAGGAGAAGATTTGGAAGCAGGGAGCATGGGCAGTTTTTTCAAGAAGTTTCACTATAAGGGAAGGCAAAGAAATAGGTTGAGGGAAGCAAAGTGAAGAAACAGGTAAGATGGGAAATAGCTGAAGGACACGATCTAGTACAGAGTAAAGAATGGATAACGCAGGGGGAGCATGGAGAACGCGGGGGTCCTTCAAGAGAGAAGAGCGGGTGGGACCCGGAGCACGAGCGGAGGACCTGGCTGTAAACAAGAGTGTTGCCACAGGCCCCTAAATTTCTGTAAGGTGCCATGGTTCACTCTGTGTTTTAGGTTTGTCGGGTCATGCGGTCTCTTGCAACTGCACAATCCACTCCTTGTAAGACAAATGCAGCCATCAAACATGCATAAGGAAATAGAGCACATTCAAGGGTAGGCTGGACTTGACCTTGGGCAGCAGTATTCCAATCCATGGACCAGTGGGCTGGGGGCAGATGTGGTGCTGAGGTCTACGGCAGTCCCTTTGCTCAGAGAACTGGGCTGGCAGACCATTACCTGAGACAGGGAGTGGTGAGACCACGAGGGAGGGGGCTGGGGTAAGACACAAGACTCACAGACTGAGAACGCGCAGCGTCGTTGCCTCTCAGGATCAGGGTCCACTTCAGGATTTAGTCATGAATTTCAGTTGGGACTGGCCAGCATGGGCTGTGGGATTTTCTTCAGTCACATGCAGATCCTTTGCAGAATCAAATGGACGCTACAGACTCATCAGTTTCCTCTGCTCAACACAATCAGGAGCACCTGTAACCGAACACAATGAGTTAACTGATTCTGCCACCCAGGAGAACACACAAGTCATGGGAACCAGGGGGTTTCTTGGTAAGAGGGTGGCAGAAAAGACTGCTTCTGGGATTTGGGCTTTGAATCGGCTGTGTTAGAGATCATTCAAGGAAATGGAGCGAGGGTGGAGCCTTGCTGTCAGGATGCTGTCAGGAAGCAGGGGCAATCCCGAGACCGGGCCTCTTAGTTCTTTTCCAGCTGGGAGGGGAGCAGCAGCGCCCTCTGCCTTAGCAGGAAAGGCTGAGTGGCCGTTTCTGTGGTTTGGGCCCCATGCTTGTTTTCATTCTCCACTCAAACGTGATGGTAGAGTCGTCTCTTTCTGTCTTGATCCATTTTGTCTGACACTGAGACACCAGACTCAACGTTGGCACTGCAGCCCAACTCTGAGTCCCAAGCCAGCTCCTGGAGCCACCAAGGCTCCCACTGACAAGGGACGCGCTTCTTGTTCAGACCCATTTCCCCAGAAAAATGCACACAATCCCATCCTAAGTCTTTGACTGCTCTGCAAGTCTGTGCACGAACGCCGTGATGGAAACCCCAGAGGCTTAGCGCACAGAGGAGGCCCCAGAGCCGCCAAGCAGCTCTGAGCTGTGTTTGGGGGGCGGGGTTTCCTCCTGAAAAGAGATCGAGTCCGTGTGTCTGTGTATTTATAGTGATGAGAGAAATGTGTCATGTCGTGAAGACATGATCTCCAGTCTTGGGATTAAAATGTCTCTTTGTGCCTCTGAGAGAGAGGAGAGCAAGAATGAGAAAAAGAGAAAGGAGGAAAGAGGGAAGGTAGAAGAGGGAGGACTATGTTTTAAGACAAGATGGTTTATGATTCCATTTCTAAGAAACTTCTGGCTTCTTCTCAGCTGGCAGAGTTGTCACCCTGACAGGCACGTTGGCAGACACTTCTCTTCCTTGGAACACACTGTACACTCCTTCACCGCTCCCATCATAATCAGGTATGTGTGTGTGTTACATAAACAGCCACGAATTACATAATCCTAAAACGTCCAAACCAGAAAGGCCTTGGAGCCATCTCATCCAAGTCACTCATTTTCACCTGGGAAAACCGAGGCCCAGGGGAGCAGCCTGCCTGTGGCCATGGCTCCGTGAAGTGGAAGGGCCGGGACGGAAGCCCCAGGCCTCTGACGCTAACTAAGCCTGGGGTTCTTTCCACCCAACACTGAGCAGAAGCCACAGAGAAAGATCTCTCTGTAAAGACGCATTCTCTTGCAGTCAGCCGTTCAAATACAAAGCAGACGTCCCAGGGGGGAGCAGGCTCCCCAACACCGGGGCCATCCAAGCAGGGCCCCGCCGCCTTCCAGGAACACTGCAGGGGTGACTCCAGGGTGGGGCTCTGGCCCTGATGAGAAGCAAAAGTCCCCTCAGCTCTGAGAGTCCATTGGTAGTCAAGAAAACATCTAGTTTACTTCTTTAAGCCTCCACGTTCACAACTGCAAGGTGCAGGAATAATTTCCAAGTCAGAAGACTCCTGTAAGACTGAAATGAGATGATACAAATAAAAAAAATGCCTACAAAATGACTTACCAATGTGGCATGGTAGAATGAGCTTATGGTTGGCTAGTGATACATCCCCGACATGCCCTAAGTGATAAATCTAATGAGGTTTCTCCTTGTGAATATCCTACTTAGAATCATAAAATATTGGCTGGCGCCGCGGCTAACTAGGCTAATCCTCCGCCTAGCGGCGCCGGCACACCAGGTTCTAGTCCCAGTAGGGGCGCCGGATTCTGTCCTGGTTGCCCCTCTTCCAGGCCAGCTCTCTGCTGTGGCCAGGGAAGGCAGTGGAGGATGGGCCAAGTGCTTGGGCCCTGCACCCCATGGGAGACCAGGAAAAGCACCTGGCTCCTGGCTCCTGCCATCGGATCAGCGCGGTGCGCCGGCCGCAGCACGCAGGCCGCGGCGGCCATTGGAGGGTGAACCAACGGTAAAGGAAGACCTTTCTCTCTGTCTCTCTCTCTCACTGTCCACTCTGCCTGTCAAAAAAAAAAAAAAGAATCATAAAATATTGACATTTCAAGAGCCCCTAGAGACAACCCTTCTGCATCTCACAGAGGAGGAAAGAGGACCAGGAAGGATCAAGAATTCCTCAGGCTTCCACTGCAGAGTCCAGGCTAACATTCCCCACTCATGAGAAACCAGAAGGACCGCTGCTTTTCTGTATTATTTGGCTGGATGATGCGTGTGTGTGTGTTGGTGTTGGGGGGTGGTAGATTGAAGGAGGCTTAGAACTGAATGCATCAAGAGAAATCAGAGTTGGGCAAACATTGTTTGGCTTAATAAGATTTCTCTGGCTAGCACAGTCGGTGGTCACCCGGGCAGCTGGATGCCTTCGTGATCATTAACTTAGCTCTGTGCCTGGGTTCTGTCTTTTTGGAAATGAGGTCATTGTTTTCTCTTGGCTCATGTTTGAAATAAGGTCAAGAAAGTGAAAGATCTTTTAAACTGTTCAATTTTGCGCAAAGACGGGCACAGCATTAATAACCAAAAACATCTTTGTGCTAAGAGACCATAGGCAGAGGCTGCCCGATGTGCTTCCCAGAGGTTGGGGAAAGGCCACAGCATCCCCCAGCACCTCAGATTTCCCTGCCAGTGCTTCTGGGAAGAAGTAGCGCCAGGCAACGTGGAGTCCCTGACTGGCTGTGCTTGTGTCGGATTCCCGAGCTCCACCCCCGACCTATTGCATCAGCCTGTGGGAGTGGAGTGGAGAAGTCTGTATTTCAGCAAGATTCCCCAGGGAAATGAAGCCCCTACGGTTCCAGGGGTGTCGTCCCAGGGCTTGTGAGAACGCAGATTCTGACTGTGCGAGTCTGGGGAGTACAGGAGCTCCTACATCTCCTGGTGCTACAGCGCCGGACCTTGAGTAATGAGATTCTAGAGTGTTCTGTAAAATCAGGGACTCCTGCATGAAGGGAATCAACGTTGTTGAGCATAACCGTGCCCAAGGCCTTCAGGAACAGGTTGTAGGAGAAAAGGCCGAGGGACTCCGGGGACAGGGGAAACGCAGGCAGTGAGCAGACAGAGATCAAAGGGGAGGGCCCTGGAGGCCAGAAGGTGCTGAGGGTGGTCTGGGCATGCGTCATACTCCTCGCACTGAATACCCTCTAGGTTCCTTGCATTCATCAAATCAATTAATCTGCGGAACAACCTAGCTCCGTACTATTAATCATCTCTAGCCAACAGAGACGTAAACCAAGGGACAGAGAAATTAGGTGACTTGCACAAGGTCATTCAGCTGCCGGATGGAATTGGGATTTGGAACTTCTCTACCTCTTCACCTGTAGGCTCTTCTGCATCGAACAGACTGTGCCCTCAGTAAGCCTCTAGTCCAGTGTGGAATATGGGCTAGCAATAGCCGAACTTGGACGATGGTTGGATTGCCTTCATACCCTCCGCATGTGTCCACTCTGTTAGCTCTTGTAGCAACTCTGTGAGACGGAGACGAAATTGTCATCTTCCCTCTGCAATCCGGCAAATGAGTAACCCTGCCTAGAGTTACCCGGCCGGCAGACGGCAGAGCTGGGATGTGCCCTGTGCCTCCTGGGGAACAGGTTCTAGAAATGAAGAGTGCAGCGAGGTGCAGCCGAGAGCACCTAGCCCACAGGCTGCGAGAGGGGAGGTCATGAGAGCTTCCTGGGGCAAGAGACACGTAAGCTAAGGTCTAAGCATCTTAGCAGGTGAAGAGGGCATGAGAGCGATGGAGGGAGAGACAGGGGTCCCCAGGAGAGGGAGCAGCCAGTGCAGACTGGGCCAAGGATGAAGTGCTGACAACACCTAACAAGCACTCATTGTGGTGGGTGCTTGGCGGGGTAGAGGGACAGGAGAGGTGAGAGGGAGGGTCATGAGGGGCTCCAACGTCACGGGAGGGAGTGTGAGCAGAGAGGTGCCATGGAAAGGAGATGGGTGACACGTTGGGCAGCGTCACTCACTGGTTTGGCCCATCATGCATTCAATAAATGGGCACAAGGCTGAGTGCCGGGCACCGAGAACACAGCATGGGCCAGACAGAAACAGGGGGCTTCTGGCAGGGAGTGTGGGCATTAAAGACATGGTTTATGCAAGTCAGTATTTGATGATGGCTGTAACGATACTGGGGAAAGTGACCCCGTGCAGAGGCCCAACAAGACAGAGGAGCGTGGGTGATACATGAGAGAGATGAGCCATTGCGGACTCCTGCGGGGACACCCTGTGCTAGACACTCAGGTCCCCAGCAAGGGTGAAGAGGCGAGGAAGAGCCAGCCCAGAGGGAGGGTTTGCCTCTCCTGGGGCCTCCCTGGCTGGCAGCCACGGCCTTGGTGATGGAAGGGAGCGGAGACCAAGCCTCGGCAGTCAACAAGAACCCGAATCAGAGCAAATCCTTCTAAGGAAGGGTCCTGTCCTGTGAGAAAGAGGTTGGAAGAGCCAGGGCACTTTTGGGCATAAGAATGGTCTGGGTTGGAGGGGTGCTGGTGCACAGTGGAGAGCAATGTGCTTGACCTGAGTGGCTGGCGGGGTTGGGAGTGACAGGGCAGGTGTCCCACATAAGGTAGACCAGGACAGTAAACATGCTCTTGTTTAGGTCCCTGAACACCCCGCCATCTGTCTCCCACCACCGTTGGTTCCCAAGACTCTGTCACCACACAGGGGACCCTGGGTAGAACATCCTCCAATATTTATTGCACTCTGATTTCATTAGCAAGCTGGTAATTCCCATCCAGTCACATCCTTAGGAGGTGTCACTGCCCTCACTTCACAGGTGAGGAGGCTACAGTTCAGAGCAGGCTGCCAACTGGCCTGAAGTTACATATCTAGTAGGTGCCACACAGATGTGGGCCCGCGCTGTGGCGTAGCCAGCAAAGCCGCCACCTGCGAGGCTAGCATCCCATATGGGTGCTGGTTTGAGTCCCAGCTGCTCTTCTTCTGATCCAGCTCCCTGCTATATATGCCTGGGAAAGCAGTGGAGGATGGCCCAA